AGGGCCAAGTAAGTTTGTCCCTGAGTCCTGTCCATGAAATAGACAATGCTGAGGCAGTCACAATTGGAAATACTAGTACCAAGATTAGCCACAAACGGCACAGGCAGGAGATGGAGATGGGCCAAGCTTCACCATCCAGAAAAGGAGTTTGCTGGCTACCTGAAGACCCATACCACGGAGCCTCCAAAGGTCAGTCTGATCTGGTTTTCCTCCTGTCCACTCCCCTCCATCTTCTTCCTCCAACAGCATCTCCAGGAATGAGCATCTCTGTTTGCTCTAAGGCCCCTGCACCCTAGCTTCTGCCTACAGCAGCTCCAGATTCTTACAGAGCCCAGCACTGTTGTGCCCGTCTTTGTGGAACCCTGGCCTGGGCACTGCCTCCAACTCAGATCTTAAACCTCTTCTAAGTCATAGTCTTCTTTGAGTGCCTACAGACCCAAAAAGGCAGAGCAGAGGGAACAAAGATCAAGTGCAAAGTCCCTAAGGTGACAGGTGGAGCTGAGGGAGGATGGTTCCACTGTAGATGGGCCTTGCAGAGATGCATGGGAGGCCATGCAGGACCACAGTACCAGCAAAGGGACACATGTTAAACAAGACAATGTATCAACTTGTTTGAGTCTTTGTACATGTAGGTAGTCCTGTCTGGCCCTGGATCCTGGCTGAGAGTACCTGAAAATCAAGTATTATGACTGTTTTTCTCCATTTATCAATTAAGAAAACTGAGACAGTCCTAGCTACCTGGGAGGCTAAGGCAGGAGGACCACTTAAGTTAGTGCAAGGCTACATAGCAAGGATATGACAAAACAAACTAAGGAACAAAACGAAGATATGCATGGAGAACCACATCTCTTAAGACAGAACCCCCAATACAATATAGGACTGGCATAGTAGTACACAGAATGTAAACACATTCTCTGGTAGCCTTTTTCCTTTTTGATGGTGCTGGGGATAGAACCTACAACCTTTGCATACCAGACTAGCACTCTTCACTCAGCTACACCTCCAGTGCTTCCAGACCTTAAAACTCTAGATGGCTTCTAAAACCAAATCTAATAAAAATGCTATGTAAGAATGTCAGAAGCCAGATAGATGCAAGGCCAATGAGATGTCTCACTAGGTAAAGCCTGCCCCCAGAATAGTGACTTGAGTTTGAGCCCTAGGACCCACATGGTAGGAGAGAAATGACTCCCCAAAGTTGTCCTCTGATCTCTATGCCCTGCCAAATAAATAGATTAAAATATAATAAAAGCAAATTCATAAATCAAATAGGCTAATTATATTCCCTACTAATCCCAGCATTTGGGAGGTTGAGGCAGGAAGATCATTAGTTCAACATTGGACTAAACTACATATGTATGTGTAGCTAGATCCAACAAAAGTCTGTTCAGGGCAGGGGGTATAGTTCAGTGGTAGAGTGCTTACCCAGCAGGCACGAACTCTGGATTTCATCCTTAAAACCACAAAAACAAAGTAAGTGAAGTATGTACATGTTCAATGTAGACACATCACTGTTTCTGAATAGTTTTAAATTTATGGTTAAGTATGAAGATTTGGAACCTGCAAACAGGGGTATCTATAATCCACCAGGCTTAAATCTCTTACAATGCTCGACACTGGTGATGCAGAGTACTTCTGTTGGTATCAGTCTATAAAATGGATTAACATATGGGCTGGTGACATAGCTCAGTGGGTAAAGACACCAGCTGCTAAGCCTAGCAACCTGAATTTGGTCTCCAGAATCCACAAGGTGGAAAGAACCAACTCCCAGAAGTTACTGCCCCACAAACAGATATTTTAAGAGGAAAAAAAAAAAAAAGACTAACAGAACTCTGCTGACATTAACACCACCAGGCTATTGGCACTGTCTCTTGAGCACTTTCCTGACTGTAAATGCTGTCATCTATGCTTTTCTCTCTCTCCAGGAACTTACACTTTTGCAGGGATTACCTATCAGGCAGGAGTCCGTACAGGTTCCCTAGTGCTTTCATAGCCCAGCATAACACAGAAAAAGGAAATCTCCCCCCCCCCCCAAACCAGACACCAGGTATTATTGGAGCACCAAATCCACTAACACTAGGTTATTCTTTTGTTGTTGATATGGTCTCACTATGCTGCCTTGGCTGGCCTGGACTCTCCTGCCTCTACCACCTAGTACTAGGAATAAAGGTGCTATCACCATGTCTGGCCACCAGCTCAGTTCTCTGTGGTGGGGAGCTATCCTACAAACTGTCTTGGGCTAGGCTAATAAGTAACTCTGGCCTCCCAGAAGCCAGGAGTGAGTGCTTCTACTCCCACCCATGACAATCTAAATAGGTATGTCCTTATTTATCAGATAGGCAAATTGAGGCCTAAGCCAGAGTCTCAGGACTGAGTAGCATGGCCCAACAGTGCCATCTGACTCTGTTCTATCATAAAAATCATTCATCCTCATCTCTTCTGCTCTACTTAGAAAACACCAGGCACAACACATAAGGCCCACAAGTTCTAACTTTTGCACCTCTGCTGAGGCAGCATAGAAGAGAGCAGATAGGATGACAAGCACAATCCTTGGAGCACAAACTGTAACATGTTACTTCTGACCTGCCTGATTCTCCCAAGCCCGCCTGTCCACAGACAGGGTCAATGCACTTCAGGAAGACACCATTAGCAAACAGGCCACCACTGCAAGTGTCAGAGAAAAGGATTATATTGAAGAAAGGACTGCTTCAGCTTTATCATGTTGCCAGATGGTGATGAAAACATGCAGGGCTGTCTAGTCATGGGCTTGAATAAGTTCAAGCACAGAGAACTGTGCAGTATAACCCAGGGGGTAGAAGCCTGAGTATGGAGGGGAAGGAATTCACAAGGGGACACAATGCCAAGCTCTGCTCAGGTGTGCAGCTGGACCAGGCAGGTAGTGTTTCACTGGCCATGGCAATGAACCCTTGGTTGGGTCAGAGCTTATCAGCTAGCCTTCTTAATTGGCCCTATACAGTCCAAACAGTTTTCCAGAAAGCCTAGTTCATGAACCTGAGGTGGGTAGTGGTGGACAGATTTAAGAGACTCTGAATGGTCAGGACTTGTGAGGCAGAGGTGGATCTCAGTGAATTTGAGGCCAGCCTGGTGTATAGAGCGAGTTCCAGAACAGCCAGAGCTACACAGAGAAACCCGGTCTTGAAAACCAAAAATGAAACAAAATAATAATAATAGGGGGGGGCAGCATGGGCCTGGACTCTGGATATAAGTCAGGGGATCTGAACTTTGCCTGGGGTGCTAGGGGGACTCATGAGATCCTCTGACTGAGTTCTTTTTCGTGGACAGCATGAAGGATCTCTGCCCCACACCAGGGTCATCCTTCACTCTATTCTCACAAAGACAAACATTCTGGTAGCTCAACAGGAGCCTGGCAAACACTCAATAAAAGCTTTAAAAGTGTTGTTCTCACCCAGAACACCATATCCAACTTAACTTCCTTCTTATTCCGATCATGGCCCTTCTTTAACTACCCAATGGAAATCTCTCTGCCCACCTCCTTGCCTTGCCTAGTTTCTCTGTACCTCAGGAGACCATTGCCTTGTCTAAGTTGGGTCACCATCTGAACAGGAATTGCCAGAGCCAACTCCTGCTTAATGTGTTACAGCTGCTTCTTCAGCTCTCAGCAAGGGAATGGGCACAAAGTACTGAAATCAAACTGTCCACTTTAGCCTGTCTGCTTGTTGTGCTTGCCTCAGGCTCTCACTGAACAGCAGATATGACTAGTTCATCTTCTGTTCTAGTTTCAGGTGGAGATGTCTGACCATTTCTGCCTCCATACTGCAAGGCCAACTAACTCCTACCAGTTCTGCATTCCAGCTGTGACTAGTTGACACCATCTGTTCTCAATACCCAAACCAGCTGAGGCCTGGGAGCAGCCGGTCTATGCCCCAGAAGCTTCCCTTGGTTCAACCAGGTAGTAAACTGCAGCAGCAACCGGTGGAGGAAATAAAGGCAATTGTAAAGGTTCTGAGGCGATACCAGTCCAATTGACAGTGGTAGCTGCTGTGGTGGGGGTGGGGTGGGCAGGTTAGGGGGTGTGTACTGGGGACAGGGCTTTAAGGAGAGCAGCAGAGTGAAGAGAACAATGCAGCTACCAAGTTCTTTACATAAGCTGCTGGTCCAGTCCCCACCCCCAACAGAACCAAGAGATCAGGGCAGGTGCAGCTGTTGGTGGTGGTCGGGGGAAACTCCAAGGAGATGAGGGGGAAGGGAGAAAATTCATCCTTAATCCCAGGACTGGCTGGCACCAGTCACCCAGAAGTTTCCGGTCCCTGCCTCTGGTGCTGAGGGATGTCCAAAGTCACCAGGGCAGCTTGTATTTGGTGGCTCATGCCTATATAACACCGGTATCAGGATGCCGAGGCAAGAGGGCCATAGTTCAATGCTAGCCTAGGCCACATAGTAAGTTCAAGGTCAGTCTGAGCTCCTCCCTAACCCAAGAGCAACCAAAAAACAAACCTAATCCTACCACCACCACACACAGCCCAGCAATCAGTCCAGAGTTGGAGCAGTCTGATTAGAAACCGAAGTAGGGAGAACAAAGCCTAGACAAGCAAAACAAAACTCACAAACCACTAAGACCCACTTTTATAACCACCTCCTATAGACTGTGCCCCTTCCTCTCAGATGTGGAATGGAGGAGAAAGTATGAGCAGGCCCCACACACTGTTCCTTGAACTGCAGAGAAACTTGATCCTACTGCAAGGGGACTCATTAAGCCGCTCCAGGGAGCCCAGAAAGGCCAGGTCCATCAACAGGGAATCAGAAAAGCAGGAATTTCTCTGCTAGTGCCCCAGGAGGGCCAACTCGATTTACTAGGCATAGGCCACAGTCTAGTCATATGACCAGGGACAAGCCCCGCCCTGAACCTCAGCTTCTCTCTCTGAAAAGAGAAAGCCTAAGACACAGCGGTAGTGAGCAATCAATGAGCTTCCTCGCTTAACATACTACCTGGTCTAGAAGGAGCATCAAGGAGGGGGATGGGTCCTGGTCTCAGGAGCTCCTAAGGCAAAAGTCAGGATGTGTAGATGCTTGTTTGGTCTCAAAAATACAACACTGCTTCAGGGGACATAGAATTAAGGCCCAAGCAAGCAGGTTGGGCCTGGAAAGCTAGGAAACATGACAGGCTGTGAGGTCTCGTCTCTTAAGGCTTGAGCCCTCAGGTTCCGGCGCCAGAAGGCTGAGAACGAACACAGGACCCTAAAACACTCAGGTAAAGTCGCTGGGCTGTCTCCATGCAGGGTGGGCGGGGTGGGGGGTGGGGTGAACAGGGACCATCCATTCGGAAAACACGATGTTTAAGCTAGGAATCCGGTGCAGCCCCCGCAAACTCCCATCCACCCGCTGGCCGGTCCCTGCTAAGCTTTTGCCCGAGGCTTCAGAGGAGAGGCGTGGGAAAGAGAAAAGCCCCAGGTTCTGACTCTGAGCAAACATTTGGGGAATGGGGGGGGAGCGTAGATCCCTTAGGTCACACTAGTTTTTCCTCACCTGCTACCACATCCCCACCAGCCTAGCCCATAGGCCCTGCACCTCCTCCAAACCCCCAACACTCCGTCGTAGTCCCCAGCCTTACCTGATGACCCCCCGGATGTCGCTCACCCCCACATCTGAGTCCTGACCTCGCGTGACCCCCTGCAAACATCCCTGGGATCTCCGATCCGCCCCCACTCGAGCAGGCTCCGCCCACACCCACCGAGTCCTACTTCCCGGGCTTTTCCTTGCTGCCCCCCAAGGCCTGTAACCTGACCCGCATACTCCCCTCCCCTGTGATCCCAACCTGCTGGCTCCGGCAGTCCCGGTCCCCTCCGGGCCCTTTCCCTCAGGCAGCACAACCCCCCCTCCCGCCCTGGACAGCCTGAGGCCTCCCCTCCCCCTCCGGCCTCGCCCGCCGCCTTCTCACAATTACCCCCTCCGGCCCTGCGACTTCCAGGAGCCCTCGACCAGCGCCTCCCTGGGGCCGCCTCAAGCCCCGCGGGCCAGGCCCGGGGCTGGACGCTGTAGGCCGCCAGCTGAGGCCCAGCCACCTCAACGTCGCCCTCCCGCCGCTGTCAGCATCGCGGACTCGGCTTCTCGCTCCCAGCCGGGCGCCCCGGGGCCTCCCCTCTCGGCCCTCGGCCGGAACCTCGGATGTCCTCGGGCCGCCCCGGCGGGAGGAGGCCGGAATTGGGCCTGGGGCGGGCCATCTCACCTGCGCTGTGGCCGCGCTCCGGGGCCTCCCGGCGGGCTCCGCAGCGGCAGCTGGGGCCGGGCCTGGGCCCGGGGCGCGCCCCCCTGCGCCTCGGCCTCGGCCTCCGCCTCTGCGGCCTCCGCGGCCTCCGCCTCAGCAGCAGTGGTAGCCGCGGCGGCCATTCATTGTGGGCCAGGCCGCCCCAGCCGAGCGCCGAGGAAGCGCACGGCGCAGCCGGCAGGGAGGAAACGGCCTCGGCCCCGCCCCTTAGGCAAGCTTAGCTGCGCTCCGAGCGCTTTAGTTCTCACCGGCTTTTTCCTTGAGGGTCTCTGTTCTGTAGACTGTCTAGTTAGTTGCGTGACTATGGGACAGGTTGCTCTGTTTCCTGTAAAATGAAAACAGTAACGACTGTTGTTTTTTCAGACAGTTTTAAGCTCTTTATGGAAATGAGATTTCAGTGGAACCGAGGAAACACGCTCAAGATCATTCAGAGGGAAGTGACTGAATGCCGAGATTTTAAATGTAGGCTCAGAAGGTCAATAAAGCTAAGACTCAGGGTGCTTACGCGATGTCAAGTTATATTAGCATTTTGTACTAACTCGGATAACTATGTTTTATAACGTTAAGGCAGTCTGACTACTTTTCAGATGGGGAAGCAGAGTCAAATACAAATAGTTCGAACTGGAGAGAATACTCAGCGAATAAGAGTATGTACTGCCCTTGCAGTAGAGAGTTAAGTTCCCAGCACCCCTGTCAGGTAGCTCACAACTTTTGCCTTTAACTGCAGTTCTAGAGGACCCATCAACTCTTTGTTCTTTGGGGAGTTGTACACAAGCGCAAATACCACACACATACACAGAGATGAGGATAAAATCTAAAGCAAAACAAGTACTCCGGGCCTGGTAGTTACTGTCTGTAATCTCAGCATTTGGGAGACTGAGGTAGGAAAATCTCCCGAGAGTTCGAAGCTGCCCTGGGCTACATAGTGAGTTCCAGCACTAACTCTTAGTTCCAGAACTAAAAGTACCTTCTACACCCCATTGAGAGAGAGAGAACTTGCAAGGCAAGCTGAGACAACTCACATCACCGATGGCCACATTTCCCTGCCTTCATATATTAGGCCAAAACTCAGAGGGCTTACTGTCTAAGTCGCTCCTCTGCACACTTCCAAGGCATTCGATTTTTTAATCTTTGCTCTTTCTTGGAAGTTAAGATTCTTGTTTACAGGTAAGGGAAATGAGAGCCCCTGGATTATGTAGTGGGACTGAGATTCAAGGCCAGTGAATCCTATTCCAGAGCCTGAGTTGACCTGCTAGGTGTACATACAAGGAGACAGCTAAAGGTGTCAAGTTTCTCCGTCTTTTTTTCCTGAAATAAATAGTACTGAAACTCTTGTAGAAGAATTGCTCTTTTGAAAACTTCCCCTGTAACATACGCCGCGCACTTCCTTTCCTGTTAGAATATTGATCCTTGTCGCTCACCGTGAGTGGTCTCGCTAATTGGCCAGTTGTTGTCATGTGACGGCCCGCCCCCCTTGCCAACATGGCCGCTCCCAGGTCCTAATGCGTGAAGCGTGCATCTCGACTTGTTGGGTCCTGTGAGCAGAGAGGTGAAGCGTGTCGGGGTATGTGTGGGTGGGTGGCTGGTGGGGTGGATCTGCGCCGCTGGCCTCAGGCTCTGCTGGGTCCAATGCCTTTGGAAGCACAGGCCTTAACGAGGCCACGGGGTTTTAGTTACTAATTTATAGATGTGTAGTGCACCCCCACCCCAGAATAAAGCACTCTGACCTCCCCGCATCCCTCCCCTTCCCTCGAAAACGGCAGGAGGATTGAGGCGGCCGTGGATGTCCCACGCGAGGACGGTTCTGTGGCTAAGCTGCCCCCTCCGTCTGGCCCGCATTCTCTGTAGGGCTCAGCTCATGAAACACAAGACCCAGAGGTCGCCCTGTCCGCCAGCGATGGAGAACGGCACACAGCCCTGTGAAGAGCACCCTCCGGCGGCGACTGTCACCGAGGGCGCCGCCAAGATCGTCTTCCCCAACGCCAACGAGGTTTTCTACAACCCGGTGCAGGAGTTCAACCGGGACCTGACGTGAGCAAGGGTCAGGGGTCAGCTTGGCCAAGGGGTGTGGGTCAGTGAGGTAGAAGATGTTCCGAGAATATCAGTCTGGCATGCGTGCTACTCAAAGGCCAATATTCGGGAGAGAAGTTGTTAGGGAGGAGTCAGCTTTAATCCAAGGCCCACATCTTGAAAGATGAAGGTGACGGGAGGGGGTGGTGGTATTGTTAAGGGTCAGGGTCATACATGCTCGTGTTCTTGGACGTTCAAGGCCTGTGTCTCTCCCTTCCCTCCCCTTACAACTCCGTGGTGGACTTGAACTTCTTGTATTTGTATTCACACACCTTGTTACTTTTCTGCAAGTCAAATTTCACACCAGTTAAGGACCGAGGGCCGACTTTGCACAGGTCACCATCAGCTTTTCTGGGCTGAACAATATAAAGACAGAACAGTTAACATCTTAGACCTTGAGGTGGGTTTCTCCTTATTTAGAATTTGGTGCAACAGGGAGAGGACTTTATGGACTAGGGAGGGACAACAACCTTTTAAGAATGTTAAAGGGCAGACCAGACCTGGCCACCACTAAGGAGCTGGCATACAAGAGTTTGCAAGTTGACTCCACCCTCCCCTCCCATCCCCTTCTCCAGATGTGCTGTGATCACTGAGTTTGCTCGAATTCATCTTGAAACAAAGGGAATCCAGAGTAAGTGGAGGTTTGGGCCTGGGGGTGGGGGAGTGGCACATAAAGTTTACTTCCCACTTCACTCATGTCTTTCTTTGGAGTTCTGAAAGGCTCTAGGCTCCTTTTTCTCCTGGGGTTTCGGGAAAGACTATTGTGTGTATTGTCAGGGTCTTGACAATTTGAAAGTTAAGGTGAAATTTCTTAAAAGGAGCATTGACAGCCTCTGGTTTTTGCCTGGGTGACTACAGTCAAGGTACCAGGAGAGAAGGACCTGCAGAAAGAGTCTGAGAACTTGTCTGAGCAAGAAAAGGAAACGGCTGAACAGAAAGAGCTTGAAAACCTCGACCCAGGAGACCAGACTCGGACAGCTGCAGTTGGTGAGATCTGTGAGGTAGGGCTGAGTAAGAGGGGGCAGCTTGGGGGTCTGGGTGATGGGAAGGAGCTGAGGAACTATAGAGGGTAGTTGTGGAAGATCCACCAGGGCCCAGAAGAAAGATGGAGACCTGAGCGAGCGTCAGCCAGCAAGACAGCTCCCCCGTAAAGCACAAGCCAAGAAAGCCTTGAGACCATGGTGGAAGGAGAGAACTGACTCAGTAAAAAGAAGTGAGACATCTTTGCTTACTTCTAACAGGAAGGTCTACGGGTACTGGAAGGCCTGGCAGCTTCTGGTCTACGCTCCATCCGATTTGCCCTAGAGGTTCCTGGTCTCCAGTCTGTGGTTGCCAATGATGCCTCTGCCCGGGCTGTAGAGCTTATAGACCGAAACGTGCAGCTGAATGGTGTGACACATCTTGTACATCCCAACCAGGCAGATGCCCGGTAGGTTGATTGGCCATTGTTGTCATTGGTGCTGGAGATGGAGCCCAGAGCTTGACTCATGCTAAGCAATAGCTTCCAGTAGGTTCTAGTCAGGCCTGCCCAGAGCCTGCAACTTACACCTGGAATAGGGCTCCCTGGGGACAACCCTTAGCTCTGTTTAGCCTCCAAGGAAGACCTTGGGTGGGTTAGCCTCTTTGAACTCCCTTCCTTTGTTTCTAAAAGAAAGTGATTTTTCAGGAGTTATACAGTCTATTTTTTTAATTTTTTATTTTATTTGTCTGTGTTTGAGAAAGCACCAGCAGGTCCTCAGGCTTGTGTTGGAAGTGCTTGTACCCACCCAGCCAGCATCTAGATAATTGTCTTCTGAGCCTGTCGTGTGGCAGAAATATATAGTCCAGAACTGGCTTTGTAACTGAAGGTGACCTTGAACTTTTTGTAATTTTAAAAAAGACGTACTTCATTTTATGTGTATGAGCGTTTAGCCTCTGCATGTGTGCTGGGGCCCTCCAAGGTCAGAAGATGTCAGACACCCTGGAAAGGGAATTAGTTGTGAGCCATGTGGGTGCTGGGAAATGAATTCAGGCCCTCTGCAAGATCGACAGGTGCTCTTAACCAGTGAGCCAATTCTCTGGCCCTTTGCACATTTTAAAATTACATTTATTTATTTACCTATTTGTTTAGTTGTATGTGTGTATGTACAATTTGCAGGAGTCATTTCTATCTCTCCATATGTGGGTCCGGGGATAAACTCTGGTCGTAGGTGGCCCTGACCTTATGTATCCTGACTGATCTGAAACTCTGCAGTCTGCCTCCCAAGTGCTGGGATTACAACCACCCCTGGCTCTTGACTGCATTTCTGATATTTGGGTCTTTACCTCAGTGCTAGGATTACAGGTACGCATTGCCACACCTGGTCTATTTAGTGATGGGGATTAGATGGAGCCTAGAGCCACATAAGCACTGCCAACAGAACTACATCTCGAGCACCAAAGCCCTTTGGTGAGATCATGTAGCTCGAGCTGGCCTCTAATTAACTGTGTAGTTGTGACCTTCAGCTACCGATCTCCTGCCTCCCCCTTTGTGCTAGGATTATAGGCCTGATTTGCAGGATTCTTGTTATTTTCAATCAGGGTCTCACTTTGTAGCCCTAATGGCTAAAAGTCATAGAGATCCAGTTGCTTCTGCTTTCCTACTGCTGGGGTTAAAGGTGTGAGTTACCACACAGGCCCATAGCAGGATTCTTATAAGTGTGTTGCCCAAGGGTGTATTGTACAGGATGTTGTTTAGTGGTGAAAACTTCTGCCGGAAGGACTTGGTCTGTTTTGACACATGATCTGACCAATTTGGACTCATGGTTTTCTTCAGTCTTCCAAGTAGCTGAGATTATAGGTGTATTCTGGAGTCACTAGGCTCCAAAAATCACTTTCTTTTCTAACATCTTAACCTTGTAGTTACACTGCCAACCTCTCTTGCCTCAGGCTGCCTTTTTGGAACCTGCTCCCACTGTATTGCCAAATGCCTGCCCTTGTTTTTAAACTTTAAATATTGTATGTGTATAATTATTTTGTCTGTATATATCCATGTACATGAGATGAATGTCTGAGAAGAGGACATTGGTTCTCCTGGGACTGAGTCATGAGTCATTGTGAGCCACCTGTGGGTGCTAGGAACTGAATGTGGGTCCTCTACATGAGCAACAAATGTCCTTAATCACTAAGCCATCTCTCCAGCTATATGATTTTTGTTTTTGTTTTGTTTTGATTTTGGATAAGTTGTCACTGTATAGCCCTGACTAGCCTGAAGGTAACTAAGTAGACCTGGATAGCCAGAACTGACTGAGATTTGCATGCCTCTGCCTCCCAAGTGCCGGAATTAAAGGTGTGCACCACTAGCACCTAGATGCACACCTAGCTTTTAAAAACTTTCTGTGACTATAATGCTATTTGAACAATGATATAATTTGAGTTTTGTTTCAAAAATCAGCTTTTTACATGTATTTATTTGTACAGGGTACACTTGCCAGAGCTCATATGTAGAGGTCGGGACAGTGTGAAATAGTTGGTTCTCTTTCCACCATGTGTGTCCCAGAAATTCAGGTTGTCAGTTTTGGTGTCGAGAGCCTTTACCTGCTGAGTCATGTCTCTACACCCTCTCAATGTATTTAAAAAGTTTTTATTTATGTGTTTGTGTGTCTGTGAATGTATATAACTTTGTGCAGGTACCCACAGAGGCCAGAAGAGGGTGTCAGATCCCTCAGTACAAGTTAGAGGCAGTTATAAGCCATCCATCCATCCATCTTGTGTGCTGTGGACCAAACTTATATTCTCTGGAAGAACAGGAAGTGCCCTTCTGAGCCAGTTCCCCATCCCTCCCTCCCCTCTGCCTTCCCCCCTTTTTTAGGCAGGGTCCTACTGTGTAGCAAAGGAAGTCACAAACTCATGACAGTCTCTCACCTCAGCTTTACAGCTATAGGGGTTACATCTGTATGGTGTGATGCTTGCATGTTGTATGTTAGTTAGCCTTGCGTTCAGTTGGGGAACTGATGACTAGATTGCTTTAACAGTACAGGTGTGGCCGGGTGGTGGTGGCACATGCCTTTAGTCCCAGCACTCAGGAGGCAGAGGCAGGGGGATCTCTGTGAGTTTGAGGCCAGCCTGATCTACAGAGCGAGTTCCACTACAGGCTCTAAACCCATACTGAGAAACCCTGTCTCGAAAAACCAAAACCCAAACAAACAAAAGACAGTACTGGTGTGTACCCATGTTGGTTGGGCTTCATTATTTACTTTTGTCATGAGAGCATCATGGGGTACACTCACGCAAGTGAAGACTGTCGTGTCTGTCATGCGAGCACTCCCTTCTGTGTCCTCTAAGAGCACCAGACATGTAAATGATGCACAGGCATTCATGCAGATAAAGCACCTGTACATCTTAAACAAATAAATGATTTTTTTTTTAATGTCACCTGGTAAGAGAAACTAATTGCTGTTGGTTGATCTGACTTTCAGCCAGGGTTTTTTTTAGCTCCCTGGAGTTTCAGGTGTATGTGTTACTGAAACTGGTTCTATTCAATCAAATTTTTGCTGCTGTTTGTTTACATGAGACATGGCTGACCTTGAACTTGCAATTTTCCTGCTTCAGCCTCACAGTATTGGCTACACTACCAGGCCTGACACAGACCCAAGTTCTTGCTTCATTCATTCATTCATTCATTCATTCATTATTTAATGTGTATGTGTGGTCGTATGTATATTACAGCAGGCAAGTAGTGGTCAGAGGATAACTTATAGGAGTCGATTCCTTTCCACATCCTGGGATCTGGTGATCAAACTTGGTTTGTCCAACTTGGTGATGGGTGTCTTTGTCCACTGAGCCATCTATATTTTTTATTGTGTGTGTGTGTGTGTGTGAGACCTGTGAGCACAGGTACCTGAAGGGGTCAGAACAGGGTGTCCAAAGTCATCATGCTAAGTCATCTCAGCATTGGGTACCGAGAACAAGCTTGAGTCTTCCATAAAAGCATCTTTCTTTCTTAGCCGCTGAGCCACATCATCAGCCCCTACAGTGTGGTTCTTTATGGCTACAAGAGCCAAGGGACTGTACTTCATATTGGCTGTTATTTGTCAGGGTTATAGGTAGGGAGACTGAGACCTGTGTAAAACAAAAATCTTTTGGTTACCAATGGCCAAAGGAAGCCAGGTGTAGTTTCAAATGTTTTTAATCCCAGCATTAAAGGGAAGGAAAGGCAGGTGGATCTCTGTGAGTTTGAGGCTAGCCTGGTTTACATAGTCAGTTCCAGGACAGCCAGAGCTACATAGTGAGATCCTGTCTCAAATAAAATAAAACCAAACAAACAAACAAAATGACCAAAGGGGATGTAGTTTAGATCAGCATTAGAACACTTGCCTAGCATGCATGAGACTCTGGGTTCCATCCCTATGGCTAAAAAGTATAAAGAAACCCCCAAATGACTAATCTGGCCTCAAATTGAAGACCAAATCACTGTGCCATAGGGGATGGGGTAGGGGCTTGGTTTAAGAGGCTGAGAACCTGGATCCCTCATATCTAGGATGCTGATGTACCAACACCAAAAGGCATCTGAGCGTTTTGATGTCATTGACCTGGACCCCTATGGCAGCCCTGCCCCCTTCTTGGATGCAGCAGTGCAGGCTGTGAATGATGGAGGTGAGGCTAGCCCATAGCATCTAGAATGCCCAAACAGGTGTAGGGTCAGGGTGTTTGAGAGTCATCACTGCCCCTCCCCTCCCCACAGGACTTCTGTGTGTCACCTGCACAGACATGGCGGTATTGGCAGGCAACAGCGGAGAGACATGCTACAGCAAGTATGGGGCCATGGCCCTCAAGAGCCGGGCCTGCCATGAAATGGTAAGAGTCCCCCCCAAGCCATCCTGGGGGTTGGGAAAGAGGCTGTGAGCATTCCTACACTGTTCCTCCCAGCATACCTTCCTATACTGATGACCTGCTCAGTGCCCTGGGATGGCCAGGACTGGTCTATCCCAAGCTGTGACATGACTGGCAAGCAGATCCTTAACATCCCTTTTCAGTGGGCAGAGTGGTTAGGCATTGTTTCCTGCTAGCATTCTATAGTATAACTTAAAAATATCTGTGTTAGGTATGGTAGTGTATGCCAGCACTTGAGAGGCAGAGACATGTGGATCTTTTGTGAGACCAGCCATGGAAGTCAGGATAGGTTCCTGAAGTTCATTATTTCCTTCCACCATTTGGGTCCTATATCAGTCTTGGTGGCAGGTGCTTTACCCACTGAGCCATCTTGCCATCCCAAAATGAGGGTATTGAGTATCCCAAGCAGGGATCCTTCTGCAGCTACCTCTCAGGTGCTGAATTACAGGCATAGCACTCAGAATGAAACTAGGTTTTCACGTGTCTGGGAATGGACCTTGTGCATACAAGGTGCTCTGCCACTGTGCCACACCCCCAATACAAGAAGCTGTGGTGTTGGAGGTCTGAAACAGGCTCTCTTGTAGCCTAAACTGGCCTTGAACTTGCTATGTAGCTGAAGATAACCTTAAACTTCAGATCCTCCCACCTCCACCTCCCAAGTGTTGGGACAAAGAAAAACAAAACACAAAAACTTAAAGAATGATTTTTCAAGGTATGAGTTCTATTCCTGGCTTAGTTGGTGACTCTGACTTCACTTTTCTGGGCCTTAGTTTTGCATCTGCAGAACAGGTATGGTCATGGCACCTACCTGTGTCATTACTATGGGAGAGTAAATAAATGGTGGGGGGAGGCAAAGGTGACATCCTGTCCTTGTTCTAGTGTGAGCCTGGACAGTGCCACCACCTTTTTCATGTCAGAGGCTCCAAGCTGCCGCTGATAATACTTATTGTCTATAGTGAAGGCATACTCTCAGCTGTGCAGGCTGCAGCCATGTGGTGTCTGCTACCAGCACACAAACTATGGAGGAACTGAGGAAGAGAAATTCTCACTGCCAGCCTCACACAGCCAGGAAACATGGGCTTAAGCTCAGTTGCATTTCCAAGTTTGTTCTTCCTAGTGCTGACTCTCACCCCTACCACCAGGCCCTAAGAATTGTGCTGCATAGCCTGGACCTGCATGCCAACTGCTACCAGCGCTACGTGGTGCCACTGCTCAGCATCAGTGCCGACTTCTATGTAAGGGTTTTTGTGCGCGTTTTCACAGGCCAGGCCAAGGTTAAGTCCTCAGCCAGGTAAGCCCATAGAGGGAACCTAATGAATTGAGGGAGGAACTAAGTCTTGCCCCAGGGGACCTTGGTGTCTGAAAAGGCACTGTATTGTCTGAGGGAAGAGTTGAGGTGTAGTGACCACATCAGGAGCTCACGGCCTCTCCTGATCTTCTACAGCAAGCAGGCCCTGGTGTTCCAGTGTGTGGGTTGTGGAGCCTTCTACCTGCAACGCCTTGGCAAAGCGACAGGAGACCCTGGCGGCAGGTGAACAAGGGCGTTTTGGATTGGAAGGATGTCCTAGGTCCCTACTCTGCCAGTAGCAGCTTCTCCTCAAACTGTCTCTCCTTGCAGGATCAAGTTCTCCGCGGCCTGTGGTCCTCCAGTGACCCCTGAGTGTGAACACTGTGGGCAGCGACACCAGGTGGGCCCAGGTCAGAGAAGGGCAGTGAGCCCAGGGCCCCAGCATTCATGCATTTATTCCCCTTGCTCATCTGTATCCTGTGTGTCCACAGCTTGGAGGCCCCATGTGGGCAGACCCCATCCATGACCTGGACTTTGTGGGCCGAGTTCTTGAGGCAGTGACCACCAATCCTGGCCGCTTCCACACCTCCAAGCGGATTCAAGGTGTCCTGAGTGTTGTTACTGAGGTATGAACTGGACGTACACGGGGAGGATACCCTTCTGTGCCCTCCTTCCTGCCAGCACTCCATGCTAGTTTATCCTCACCTCTCAGGAACTTCCTGACGTCCCTCTTTACTACACACTGGACCAACTGAGCAGCACCATCCACTGCAACACACCCAGCCTTCTGCAGCTTCGGTGAGGGCCTTTGGGGGCAGCTTGAACCATCAGAGTCTAGTGTGTGCATAGGGCAGAGCTGAGAGGACATGAGCCCTCCAGCGGGCGCTTTGTCTTTTAGTTTTTAATGGATGTGTGTTTTGCGTGCACATGTATAAGTACACCATGTGCATGCAGTGCCTAAGGAGGCCAGGAGAGGGCGTCAGATTCCCCAGGACTGGAGTTACAGAGGGTTGTGAGCTGTGAAGTGGATACTGGGTTCCAAACCCCGGGGACCTCTGCAAGAACTGCAAGTGCTCTTGACCACTGAGACATCTTCAGCCTCCGGCAGGTGGTTTTGATCTCATAGTCAGTGACATGCTTTTTTCTTGTGCTTTTCCACGTGACCTACTTTGGGGTTTATCCTCCCCTTGTGGTCTCTGTTCACCCAGGTCAGCTCTCCTTCACGCTGGCTTCCGAGTCTCTCTCTCCCATGCTTGTAAGAATGCAGTGAAGACAGACGCTCCCCCGCTAGCCCTCTGGGACATCATGCGTTGCTGGGTGAGGGCAAGTTGACCCCTTGATTTAAGGCAAAGAGGGCAAGGAAGGTATGGTGGTGGCGTAGGTGCACTTCACGTCTAGCATCTCCTCAACCTCTGTCCCCAGGAGAAGGAGTGTCCAGTGAAACGGGAGCGGCTGTCAGAAAGCAGCCCAGCATCCCGAATTTTGGCCGTGGAGCCCAGGTATGGACATACATGACTGGGGGACAGGTATAACAGGCACACGTGTGCATCACAGAAGACAGACACTGTCCCACCTTCTGTCTTCATTCTGTGCCCTTCCCACTCTGTTTATACTGTCTGTTCAGCCATACATACCTGTGAGTATCTGGGTCAGAAGACAGAACATAGAACCTTCCGTGGCTGGCTCTTTCCTCATTGCCGCCTGAACCCAGCACATAGTCTGTCCCACCTGAGTGAGGCCCTTTGCCCAGGTCACTACAGAGAAGTCTTGTGGACTGGGCCACCTTGTCAAACATTGCATCCTGACTTAGAGCTTTTACCAAAACAATTACTGAGTGGCATGTTCTGACACGGTATATTTTATTATCTTTATTTCTGTGGTGCTAGGGATGAAACCTAGAACTTGCGCATGCTGAGCATGTTCTCTCCTGGCCACACCCCTAGCACTCGTTACTTCTGATTTATCTTATTTGTCTCTGATGCTGTAAAACCAGCTTCACGGGACAGATCCAGGCCACTTTGTCAGAAATTCACTATGAAATTCAGGTGTTCCTGACTAATGGAACAACTCTGAGCCTGGTAGACCTGTGGTGCTGCCTCAAGGTGTGCAGGTTCTGGGGCTGTCTGTATTCACCCTGCATGCTACCTCCTTTCTCCACCCATTTGTGCAGACTGAAGGCCAACTTCAACATCCGGGAAGACGCCAACCCCAGCTCCCGCCAACAAGGACTCAAGCGTTTCCAGGCCAATCCAGAAGCCAACTGGGGTCCCCGGCCCCGAGCCCGGCCAGGGTAAGTGGTAAATGTTGCAGAGGTGGGGCTTGGCGAGGACTGGGTTGGGCAAAGACAAAATAGGGTACCAGTTCCGGTCTCTGCACAGGGGCAAGGCAGCAAGTAAAGATCCAGAGGAGAGGCGGAGGCTGCTTCAAAATAAACGGAAGGAGATAGCTGAGGACCCAGTCCAGAGGGCAGCTCGCCTCAAGACATTTCCTTGCAAACGATTCAAAGAGGTGATTCTCTTCTCCCACCCTCCCTGCCACCGAGTCAAGGGACAGGCTGACTGGCACAGCTAGGGCCAGGGACTAAAGAAAGAAACCCAGTCATGTGCTCACAGCCTGGTGCTTTACACCCTCCATTTCCCTCTAGGGTACTTGTCAGCGAGGGGACCAGTGCTGTTACTCACACAGCCCCGCAGCACCTGTGGCTTCTGCTGATACTCCCCTCACAGACTGTCCAGAGACCATCACCAAGATCTCTGCCAAACCAGAGGCTGCTGGTGGAGGCGCTGCTGGGCCAGGTGTGGACTGAGATAATAAAGAGATACCACTTTCTGCTGGTTGTCATTTTGAGTGGGGAGGCTGTCTGTCTGGGGGTTGTTGTTCCTGACTGACTTGCAGTTTTGTCTGTCTGACATGGAAACTGAAGTGTCAGTTCATCAGATGGCCACAGGGCGGCAGCTGCAATCATGCTTGTCGGTCACCCGGACTGCCTCCCCTGACTATCCAGGCATTTCCTCCACCTCCCCAGCACCACACAAGTTCCCCTGCAATCTCTTATTGCCTGGTGTCTTGGGCCCAGCTCTCTCCAGTTGGTGTGGTGGCGGAAACCAAACCGGAAGCAGGCACTCTGTGCATCCGCTCCAGACCAGGTGCTTCCTGCCCTGCCTGCTTCTCAATAAGGGTTTGCTTGCTGAGAACACAGGCAGAGCAGGCAGTTGCTGGGATACCCAGAGACGAGACTCTATCCCCCTCCCCTAGAGTAGGTTAGTAATGCTGAAGCAGTACTGGGGGCGTATGCACCTAGCTATAAAGTGAGGCTCCCTATAACAAGCTCCTCTGGAGGAAGTGACTTTAGCACTTTAATGAGGCCGGATGGCCACTGAGTACCTCCCTGAGTGCCTACAGTAACCAGATACGTTACATGGGACCTTACACCAGCCTATTGTACCACCTGGAGTTCAGCATCTCTTAGAAGCTTTTTTTAACCCCAGAGACTGGGTTTCTCTGTGTAGCCCTGGCTGTCCTAGGACCAGGCTGGCCTCAAATTCAAAGATCCGCCTACTGCCTCCCAAGTGCTGGGATTAAAGGTGGGTACTGCCATGCCTGGGCCTCTTAGGAGGTTTCAGCAGGCTTTCCAGGGTTTTTAAAAAGATTTATGTACATGGCTTTTCCCTGCATGTATGTATGTGCACCATGTGCTTCTCTGGTACCCTCAGTGTTGAGAGGGAGTAGGATCCCCTAGAACTGGAGCTAGGATGATGATTGTGATCAGTGTGTGGATCCTGGTAACAGAACCTGAACCCTCTGCAAGAGCAACACATGCTCTTATCCACTGAGCTGCCTCCAGTTCCCGGGTTTCCAGAATTCAGAGTTTTCATTCCAGAGTACCTGCCAGCAAGGGACACTGCCCAGTTGTGGTGTGGCCTAGTGATCTGGCATCTTGGGGAGCCTTGGAGCAGCTTCTGGAAAACTCACATGGCTCTGACATTCTTGAACCCACCCACCCCCTTGGGCTTGGAAATACCTTGGAAGTGTCACAGGGCTCAGCATACCTGTGCAGCAGTGTCAGGACACAATAAGGCCGCATTGCCAGAACAGTCTCTCTGGAGCCCTATTCCTGGGAGGGGGGAGGGGGATAGCCTGCAGGGTATGTATAAAAAAGAGGAACCAGGCTGGAGGCTGGGGCCCTTGGGTCATGGGGCCTCAGAGGACCGGAAAGGGGCCCCTTCCACCCCCATCAGCACAGACACTGAGCAAGGGTGGGGTTCAAAGCCAGAATTACCGCAGAGGACACCAGAGACAGCCTTGCCTCATTTCCTCTTTGCATGAGTTTGATTCCAAGGGTCTCCTGAGGGTAGGGTCTTCCAGTGCCTAGGGGAGTAGTAAGCTCTGAGGGGTGACAGCCGTTCTGGCCAGGGTGGGCCAGGAGGTGCGCTCTCTGTGATGCCTGCCTGCTGGTTTCCTCTGGGGTCAGCACAGCTCCTTATCAGGCGCAGCCAGGCAGTCAGACCCTTATCTGCAGAGGCCCAGCATCCTCTGGCCTCTGCGCCAGGGGGTAAGAGGGAGGAAGCCAGGCTGTCCCGGGGGCGGGGGGAGGGCGGGGTGGGGCGGTCCAGGAGGTGCTCACTTTCTCTTGGGGTTACCCACCACGACACCACCTCCTAGACTGTTTAGGCCCTCCGGAGCCCGGGAGGTGGCGCAGCCCAGCTCTGAGGCCCAACGGGACCACCTGGGGCACACTAGCCGGACTGGACAGTGGAAACCACCTCCTGACCTGGGTTGACAGCCCTGACCACACAGCACTCCTGGCTTCAAGAACTGCTACAGGGTAAGAAAGACGCTTTGAAAGTTAGGAGGGAGAGTCTGTGCCTGCATTGCACTTGTTAGTTCATTTATTCATTCATCAGCTGGGCCACACTAAGAGCCAGGGGAGCTTCTCCAGCTGGGGAAGACAGGCAGAGACATGGGGAGTCACACACTGGCAAGACACCCCAGACCCTGCATCCCAGCAAACATGTTAAGTAGGGTGCAAAAATCTGGGTGCTGATGGGTTAGGGTTGGTTAGAGGAACCTTCAGCAAGGGTAGAGGCTCCTGGAGCAACCATGGAAAGGTGGCAAAGGATGAATTTTGGAATTTCAGGGGATCTCAGAGTTAGTTAGGGGATCCCTGCTGTACCCCCAGCTGCAGGTGGGAGAGATTCTGAAAGATGGGAAACTGGCTCAGAGGCAAGAAGCCTTTTCAAACAACACTAAGCAGGCACTCACAGGGTCAATGCTGCCTAGCACCTAGTAGGCTTTTGTGGAGGTGGTCCCTTCTTCACATCCTTGCAGTTGCTAGGTCCACTCATCTGCCTTTGACTACTGAATTCCCAGTCCCTTTAGTTCGTCAAGGTGCTCTCATATTGGAGGACTCAGTTAGGTTAAACACGTCAAAGAAAGATGGGCTGTGGCCTTCCCAGTAACTCCACTCCCTCCCACAGGTTAGCATTCCATCCTTGGAGTTCATGTGCCCACCCCAGGCCCAGGCAGAAGTGGGTTCCGCCATGACTGAGAAAGTTGAGATGATTCGTTCCTCCAACCCAGAGCCTGCTCCTCTGCCAAAGCCAGCCTCACCTGGGTCCCCCCCTGCAGAGGTGGATCACCAAAACACGTGCACCCCCTGGTTGCCTCCAGGTGTGCCAGTGATAAACCTGGGTCATAGCAGGCCTACAGGGGCAGCCATGCCCACCACAGAGCTGAGTGCCCTTCGGCCCTCCTTCCTGCAGTTAGCTGCCTTGGGAACAGCTCCACCCACCCTGGCCCTGCATTACCACCCCCACCCCTTCCTCAACAGGTCAGTAGGGAGCTGGGGTTGTGGGCGGTGCTAAGGGTGGGTAGTGGGAGTCTTTGTCTACCAAGGTGTTCATGACACACGACCCCTTACAGCGTCTACATTGGGCCAGCAGGACCCTTCAGCATCTTCCCTAATAGCCGGCTGAAGCGAAGGCCAAGCCATGCTGACCTGGACTTGGCTGAGGGTGAGTGTGTGTCAGTGTGTGTACTTTGAGTGTGTGTCAGTGTGTGTACTTATGGCTGTTTGCAGCCCATGTCTGCTTGACCTGTACTTTACCACAGGGAGAGGTGGCTTACCCCTGTAATCGAGACTGAGGCAGGAGAATAAGCTCAGAAGCCAGCCTGGGCTATGTAATGAGTCCCCAAAAGCCAAGCATTTATAGCTAGAGTCATGGTCACAATAGGACATAACAGCCACAAGTTTCCACAACCCGAAAACATAGTCATGAAAGAGACAACCTTGAACTAGGATCACACAGTTATGAGACCACAGTCAACCTCAGAACCTCAGCCACACACACAACAGCCACAACCACATGGCATGATCCCACACAACCACAGCCATCAGATAGGCCACCAGTCAGCCACAGGCTCACAGCAGGCAAGAAGAGAACCTCTGAAAATCCAGGAACGCGCTCCCTTGGAACGAGGCCACAGGATGGACTTCTTAAGGGACCACATCGTTGTCATCAAGGAGTCTCAGCAACCCTTGGGTTCAAGCCCCCAAGTGGGCACTGGTGGTGTTCAGTGAGGACAGCGTGGGTGCCCTATGGTCTCTATGCTGATGTTATTCCTTGGGTCCTCAGGGCACCAACCCCAGAAGGTGGCTCGTCGCGTGTTCACCAACAGCCGAGAGCGCTGGCGGCAGCAGCACGTTAATGGCGCCTTCGCGGAGCTCAGGAAGCTGCTGCCCACCCACCCGCCCGACCGGAAGCTGAGCAAGAACGAGGTGCTGCGCCTGGCCATGAAGTACATCGGTTTCCTGGTGCGGCTGCTACGAGACCAGGCGGCTGTGCTGGCCTCGGGCCCCAGCGCTCCTGGGCCCCGTAAGCCGCCCGCGCACCGGGGAATGGAGGGTGGTGCGCGCTGTGGGGCCCGACACAGGCTAGAGTCTGCACGCTCGCAGCCCGTGCTTCCTGAGGACTGCGATGGCAACCCCAGTAGGTTGGTGCGACCCATCAAGATGGAGCAGACAGCTCTGAGTCCTGAGGTGCGGTGACCCCAAATGGTGCCTTGCCTGCTGTGCAGTGGACTACCTGTAAAAGGGACGGAGGTTGCCCATATCAGGAAACGCCGTGCGGTTCTGGACGGGTGATCGGCGGCGACTCAGGGGCCCTTCAGACTTTTAAGGAAAAATTTCCACAGGCTTCTTGAGGTGGCCTTACCACCTTCCCTGGGCCGAGGCTAGACAAACCGACAAAGCGAAGTGACTATTGGATCTTTAGGGGTGCTTAGAGAGGTAGAAAGGGGTCTGGACGCCTTCTCATCGGCGCCCCCTGCTGGAGGCGGGACGCCCCTGGGCAGTATGTGGGAAGACCCACCCCATCGAGCCCAACTGGTTGCACTTGATCCATGATCCTGTTAGCCGCGTTAACGAAGACTCAGACACTCTGGCATTTGTTTTTCTTTATTTCTTTATTTCACATACACATTAGCCATTCAATGGAGAAGCCGGAGAGAGTCAGGCAAAGATGGTATAACAGAAGCGCAGTGACGGGGGTGGGGTGGGGCGGGGCGGGTGAAGAGGGGACAGACGGGCTGGCTGCCTACTTGCATTCCGCTAGGACACTGAAAACCCAGAAAACAAAACAGACAGTAAACTACCCTTGTTTCTTATGTATCTCAGTGCAGAGACGGGGGAGGGGAGGTTGGAGGGCAGAGAAGGGAGACCAGGCTGAAAGAGGAGCAGAGGGGGGACGCTAAGGGGGAAGCACACCAAATCCATTAGTACTATATATAGAGATACTCGTATATACTGCGTTTCTTAGCCTAAGAAGAAACTTGTTTGACGGGACGGGCGGCCTTTGCGGTCCGCGATGCTGGTGCTGGTGGGGCGCACGGATCTCCCAAGAGGGGCCAAGCGGGGGGGCTGGGCCCGGCTGGCTTGCGGGGGGGGGGTCGCCCCGAGGGTGGATGGGGTGGGGGGAGCAGAGGTGGGGTTGGGGTGCCCCTAGGGCTCTCGATTGGGGGACAAAAGTTCTTATAACTTTATTGCTCCTTTATTTTTCTCTCGTGGGGGGGTCCGTTCAGCACGGTCGGGGTGGGGAAACGGTGGGTCGTCTGAGCCACCCGGCCCCTCTGGGACCCAGAGCGCGGCGTCCGCTCCGCCAGCACGGGGGTGAGAACAAGGCACTAGGTCGGCCGGCCAGCGCGGGGGCGGGTGTGTAAGGCAGTCGACAGGGCTGGTTGCGGGGTGGGGTGGGGATGTGTGCCGGGCTGTGTGCGTGCGTGCGTGCGGGCGCGGGCCTGGGCAAATCGACCTGTCAGCGTGGCTGGACCTGTCCTGGAGCATCGAGCCTCCCGGAGGGAGGGGAAGAGTGGTGTTACGTGGGAAGGGGTTGGGGAGGAAACTACCAACTTGCTGAGCGCGCTCCTGATTAATGCTGGTGAGGGTCAAGTTGGCGTCTGGCTCAAAGAAGGGCGCTCTGAGTGGGGAGAAGGGAAAAGGGACGTTTGTTCGTTGACATTGACCTCTGCGGAGGAGGGGGTCGGGGACCCCCACCGCGCCCCAGTGCCCGAAGGGGAAGGGGGCGAGAAAGGGGAAGGGGGCACCCAGGGAGACCCGCGGCCAGAGCAGCCCAGCTGCGGGGCGCACGCCGCTGTCCCGTTCCGTTAAACTCAACAAAGAAGGGATATGCGTGTTCCTAACAAGTGCAGAATATTTAATTGATTCATAAACGTATGTATAATAGTTTGTGGGTTTTTTTTAAAAACGTACTTTATAATGTAATAAGCACCAGGGTTTTTATGTTTAATTATCTTAAAAATAATTTTCTCTCGTCCTTTTCCTTTTGATTTTGTTGGTTTTTTTTTTTTAACGTCGAGGTGTTTTTTAAAATATAAAATGTGAACGTTTTCTTCAGCCCTCCCACCGAAATCGAACGACAAAACAAATTAAAACCCCAGATTATCCTCATCAACGCAGGAAAACGGCAAAAAAAAAAAAAACCAACCAATCAACCAACCAATCAAACAAACAAACAAAAACCCAGAGAACTATCAAAAAAAAAAAAAAAAAAAAAAAAAAAAGAAAGAAAGAAAAGGAAAAACACTCAGCTTTCATCCCCGCTAAGGGCAGGGCAGGCCCAGTTCTTTTAGCGTCCCCAGAGCCGCGAGGACATCACAACAAAAATAGAATTTTTTTCTTAATCTCTTAACATACAAAGATAGGAAAACTCTCTGATGCATTGCACTTGGTTCAATGAAAACAAAAAAGTTAATTTCCCCTATATTTTTTGTGGGTTGTTTCCTCTCCTAACACGTCCCCACATCTGTCGCCCTCATCGACCCTCACCTGCCCCTCACTTGGGAAAGGAGCACACCCCCACCCCAACCCGGTCCTCCCGCCTGGCACCTTGGGCCCCTGGGCCCAGCTGGCCTGCAGCTTCTGACCTTGTCCGGGGCGTGTGCCTCGCAAACCCACAGCGCTGGCAGCCCGACTGTCTTCGACCACCCGAAGAGGCAAGAGGCGCACGCGGCCGGGCAGGGACCCTCTCTCGATAGCTCTTAGCTCTGACCCTGTTTAGCCAACCGAACTGAAAAAATCATTGCACTTTGACCGCGCGTCACGCCCGGCCCGCCCGGCCCCCCACCCTGGGACTCCCTCCCTTCGCACAGGGAGGCCCCTCGCGGGATCTCCACCCGGGCTCTGGACGCCACAGGGGAGGGCTTCACTCAACACAGCGCACCTGCCTAGACAGCCGGCTCTCAGCCCCGAGCTCCCTGCACGCGGCCATTCGCCTGCTCAGGGCCGCCGCAGCCTCACCAACTAGATTCTCAATAAATAAAGCCCACAGCCCACCCCCACGTGGTGCAATGTTGGACCGACTTTTCGGAGGATCCTGACCTGTGCTTTGTGTTTTCATACCGGAGAGGCGCAAGGCCTTGAGAATGGGCCTGGGAGGGGAGATGCAGGGAAGGAGGACTAAGGCACAGAAAGACAAGCCAGAGGGGCCCAGTCACCCTGGAGGGGGGCTGGTGTGCTCGCGTTCCCCTCCCTCCCAGGGGGCTTCTCAAGACCCTCTGGACAAGCCTCCACCATCATCCCTTGCAGGAGGAGGGGGCTGGGAGGAAAGCTGCTTCCTGTGGTGTGTTACGAAATTGTTCCCAAGTTGCTCAAACAGAGGAGGAGTTCCCAACTGCAACAGCGAAAGACCCGAACAATGACTGCCCCACCCCTAAATAAAGAGGAAAGACGTTACAGCTAAAATCTAGGGAGAAGTGGCCATGGGTGTGATGGGAAGGGAAGGGGACCAGAAAGCTCCAGAACACTCTTTTAAAAGGATGATACCCCCCACCCTTCACAGGAACTTAAAAGTCTTGAGAGCAGGACGCCTACCTAGCGCAGGTGGAGGCTGCCTTGTCCTCGCTCGGCTCCAGGGCCCTTTCTGCTCCACTCTCAGCCGGCCCTTGGAGGGCTGTACGCAGCAAGGGCAGGGGCAGGGCAGAGGGGCGGAGCGAGGGCACCTGCATGCAAGGCTGGGGTGCGGGGCGACCTGGGGCCGACTCCCTTCACTAGGGGCGTGGCAGAGGGCAGCTCTCACGGCCTGCGGGGATGGTAGAGGGTGCCTATGCCGGGCTGAGCCGTCCAGTCCAGAGCATTCTGACTTGTTCCTGTGTGCTATACAGTGGGGGTCCAGCCCGAGAACTGCCCGTGTGGTTCAAAGTGGGGTGGCAGAACACCTTCCATTCTGGCCTCAATGCTGAATTCAGCTAGCGCTAAGGAACATCCCTTGCCCACCCCGGGGCCATCCTCGCCTGGTCCAGAGCAGCTGGGGACAGAAGCCTGAACAGAGGCTCCCAGGAAGGGCGAGAGGGAAAGGAGGGAGGGGCGAAGTCCGGAGGTGAGCTCGAATGTCTACTTCCACCATCTTTACGAGCTGTTCCTCTGGGCTCCTAGGGAAGCTAAGTCCAGCGGAGGGTGGGAGGAAGGCAGTCTTGTTGCATCCTTTCTGTTTGTCCTTTGCTTAGCAGAGTCCGCTTAGCAAGCTTCTTTCTGCTTGGCTGCTGGTGTACAGCTCCGCTGAGACCCCTTCTGAGGGCTCCCAGAACTGGGCTGCTTTGGACCGCAGGGGTACCCGGGCTGGAGGAGGGAAGGGCTGAGTGGCTGACGACGTCTAAGTTTTGCTTTTCGGTGGGGCTGGGCTGGGGGATATTTCCATGTCTCAAAATTTCTTCTCCCCCCTTTTGAGGAACCTCTTTTTTTTTTTTTTTTAATTTTGTTGTTTCTTTGTTGATCTTAATCAGAGGAACCAGGACTGAAACGGACCAGAAAAAAAAAAAAGAAAAGAAAGAAAGAAAGAAAGAAAGAAAGAAAGAAAAGCGACAATGAGAACAGCTGGGTCAAGTCCCAGCTCCCATCTCACCCCACCTGGCTGTATGATCCCCAACCTCTACAGTGAGCTTATGAGGAGGGTCCAGGGTGCTGGGCAGCTGACCCCAACAGAGGAAGGCAGCTCATTCTCCCCACCCTCTGAGGGAATCCCCCCAGACCCAGCCCCCAGTGCAAGAGTCCAGCTGGCCTTCCCGTGGGCACTGTGCCCAGCGGGTGGGACCCCCATGGCTGGCACTGGCAAAGACCTGGGATCTGGCCATGTTTGCAATTGTTTAGGTTTTGTGTGGGACCTGGAAGGTGGGGAGGATGCTAGGCTGGGGCTTTTGTACCCGCAGGGGTTGGGGGAGCAGGGTGGGGGTGGCCCAGCTTGAGTTCTTGCTGAGTTTTCTTTCTGTCTCTTTGGATTAAAAGCAGAAATTCACATCTGTACATCCCAGCCAATGTCCTGTCCCTCAAGCTGAAAGGCTGGGGGCAGGGAACCACATGGCTTCAGTTCCTACCAGGGCCAGGCCTGGGGGAGGGGGCCAGAGCCCACCCACCCAGTACAATCCTGGGCCTTCGGGGTACCAGACTGGGGAAAGAGCATGAATCTCCCAGCAGTGGGCATTGCTTCCCCAGGAAGCCAGCAGGGGGCGCTGCTTTCCCGTGTATAAGGCCCTCCTGGCAGAGAACACTCAGTACACACAGGGTGGACCCCTGGGGCTGGCTGCTTGGCAACGCCCTCCATCAAAGGCTCCACTCTGATTTCCCAGCGAAGTGGGAGTGGAGGACTCTTCTCCAGACCTGTTCATCTGCTTGGGTATACCTGGCAGTACCTTCTCAACAAAATGAGGATCCCTGATATGCTAACTGGAGGCTTCTTGGAGTTCTGTGTCATAGACTTGTGTCTATAGGACCAGACAGTGCCAACACATGTCATATACACCTGATACTGCCTCATTCTATCCTTGTCCCAAGCCCACACTGATGCCAAGTACACACAGGATGGGTGACCTTGACTTGCTTGAGGTCATAACCCTCAGATGACTCAATGGGACTCCGATTCATGAGAGCCGGTGCCCCTCTTTACCGCATGTGCAGCAATCATGAGGAGGCAGGGCTGGCTGGGAATGCCTGTGCTCTGCATAGAGTCAGCCTGCTAGGTTAGGGTGAAAGCACCAGGCAGCTGGAGTGGCCAGCTTTTCAAAAGAAGCCAGAAATCCAGGCAGAATTTCATGTGAAATTTCCCAGTATTTAGAATACTACTACAGCCAGGCATAGTGGTGCATGACTTTAATCCCTGTAGGTGGATCTCTGTCAGCTGGAGGCCAGCCTGGTCTACATAGTGAATTCCAGCATAATTAGGGTTACATTAGACACCCTGGTCAAAAAACACACATATATACACTACTGGAAGCCAGGTTGGTGGCTTATGCTTGTAATCCAGCATTTAGGAGACTGAGGCAAGAAGTTTGTTGGGAATTTGAAGAACGCAGGACTTCACAGTGAGTCCAAGTCCAGCCTCGGCTACAGAGCAAGATCCTGTCTCAGACACACAGAAAATACTATTGGACCCAGGTGTGCTGAAACCTGCTAGTAAGGTTGAGGCCAGCCTATGTTACAGAGAGATCCTGGCTCGACAACAAAACAAAAATAGAAAACCCACCACTATTTGGTTGGGGGGTGTAGCCTTGCCTAGCATGTCTGAAGTTCTGGGCTCAAACTATTCAAAAAACAAGACCATTAATATTCCAATATTGGTCAGGTCATGGCAGACCCTGTCTGATTTGGACTGCAGTAAGTGCCCCTGTGAAATGGTAATACTAAATACAAGACTTAGCAATGGAGTCAGAGAAATGCAGTATCTTGCTCCTTTAGCTCCAGGACACAAGCCATGTGGCCTGAATTCAACCCCTAAACCTACATAAAGGTGGAAGGGGAGAAGGGACTGAAGCCCATCTATGCACATTACACACACCCATGCATGTGCCATAACACACAGAAACAAAAATAAAGCTCGAGCTTCAAATACCCTTTAGAATTTTCTGTGGCAATGGAGTCCTAGATGCACTGTACAATTAACTCACTGATAGCATGGTTTATAAGCATGAACACTTGATATGTGGACTGTGGAATAAGGTGTGGAGGTTGAAACCAGGCAGGCCATCGAGAATGTTAGGTAATAGTTCTTCCACAGAATTCTCTCTCCAGCCCCAACTTTTCTCTAATTAATTTCAATGCACAACGCTGCATGTGGCCTGTGGTCAGGACAATAGAATCTCAAAGGATGGACATCTGGAAATATGGGCACTCAGCACTGCTTTCGGGGTGCCAGGTAGGATCTGCACAGGAAGGCTGCCTCCCTCTGTGGGTTCTCAAGCATCTGCCCAAAGCCCTGCAGGTCCACTTACTGAAAGTCAGGTAAGGGCCTGGGAAGCTGAGCAGGAAGACAGGTGGAGTGCCCTCCCAGAGTGACATGAGTCAGTGGAACCCTGGGCTTCTAGTTCTGCTGTTCTCTGGTACCCAAGGGATGGCTAACATGGGTTCCTACCCCACTGCTCCAGGCCAGGGAAGCCCACCCCTCCTCAGCTTCCCTAACAGACACAGGTGTAGAACACCTGGGACATGAGGGTCCCCGTACCAAGGCCAGACTGGTCCCTTGAAGTTTTCTTTACTGTGCAGTTTTATAGTCTCAAGAGTAGGGACTCCTCAGAGGATAAAGACTGGTTTCAGGCCTGGAAAGGGGACTTAGTGCCTCCACACAGGCCACAGCAGCAGGGGTCGGTTGTCAAGCCCAGGCTGCTTTTTCTGCTTACCCCCTTCTGCTTCCGAAGCCAGACCCAAAACTGATTAAAACTAAGTAAAAAAGCACTGTTTAGGGAATGATAAAATTGCTAAAATTTTCTTTTCTTCCCTCTTCTATTGTTCTGTCTCCATCTGGTGCTCCAAGGATCAGCTAAAGTCACTGGTTACTGTGGAAACCACTCCTGATTGTCCCCTACAGCCGCCTGCCTGCTCCCTGCCCAAGGGCTTCTGCTCTGGGGTGTCTAACTTCCCTTTCCCCACGATCCCCAGACACACCTGCCCGGTCAAGGGCCCTGGATCGGGCTAGGACTCATTTCCCCTCCTGCAACGCAAGGCAGTGAGGGAGAAAGGGACAAACTGCCAAACTTGCCTCAAACTCTGACTTGGCCTCAAAACATCCAAGTAAAGTGAGCAGAGAAAGTGAAGAAGGCAAAACCAAGAGAGAGGGGGGCGGGCTCTCAGCAGCCAGGGAGCAAACAGGCTGCACTGCTAGCTGGAGTGGGGGGGGAAGGGAGGGAGGGAGCAATGAAGCCCTGCTCCCAGTGCCAGCGAGCTGGGAGGGGAGGCCGCCTGCTTGCCGTCCCTTCCTCTGGCACCCCCTCCCACCTTCTGCCAGCAGGGCTTTCTCGGCCTCCCTGGCACAGAGCAGAGGGGGCTGGCTCCAGACCCTGCTCAGAGCCATTGTTTTTCTTCTCAACACCCCCAAGTTCAAGTTCATCTGGGTGTTACATCATGTCTGGTTGCTCCTGGAAACCAGACGGGTCAGACGTGACTCTGGGGAAAGGGGGTGGGAGGCTGGAGGGGCCCGAAGTTCCCTTCTCCTCCCTTCCTCACCACTAGGGAGCTCTGAAGTTTGAAGTTTGACTAAGTTGTGTGTGTGTGTGTGTGTGTGTGTGTGTGTGTGTGTGTGTGTGTTAAAGGAAAAGAAAGAAAGAAAAGACCCTTAAACCACACACAAGAAACTTCTATCCACCAACTTTCTCTGGACTGGGGCCTCAGCAGAGGCGGGGCAGGAGCCAGCAGAGGTGGCCCTGAGGCTCTGAGCAGGGGTGGATTTCCCAGGGCTGAGGAAACCCGCAAGGAAGTGAGGAAGTTTTTTTTTTTTTTAACATGTACAAAAAAAAAAAAAAAAAAAAAAAAAAAAATTGGTTGGTGTGCTTTTTCTGAAGCCCTGGCCCTCAAAAGTTAACCCTGACCTGTTTCTGAGGTGGACTCTGGGTTCTACCTGCTATTCTCACCCTTTCTGGATATAGGCACACGAGAGACATCCAAGTGTGCACATGTACACATGCATTCTCAAAGCAGTCTGGGGACCCCACACTGGAGGGCAAGTTTGGCTTGTCTCCTTTTGTGAAGTAGGGGAGGTATCAGTGGGAACTGGGGGCTTAGCAGCCTGACTTTCCTCTTAATGGGGCTTACGGGGACTTAGGGGAGGGGCCTCCAGGACAGCAGCTAGCCTTCCCCTTGATGCCAATCTCTGGGCATGCAGCCCACCAGACACTGTCCCTCCCAACCCTTGTCCAGTCCATCCAGTGCCAGGGAAACAGGGAAGGCCCAGGCTTCCTTGAGCTGGCCACGGTAGAAGAAGACCCAGGGGACAGGATTGCCTTCCTGGTCAGTGCCTCAGACTTCCCTCTGTGCTCTGGTGCAATGGGATGGCCTAGAGGACTCTAGCCTAGGGTTGCCTTTCTCAGGTCCAGGGCTGTCAGAGCTAATTATTCAATTAGCTGATTAGCCAGGGAGCCTGAGGCTGCCCAGGGAGGCTGTTCAGCTGGGCAGAAGCCTGGACATGCAACTCACTAGGAACAGCCCTCCCCAGGACACACAGCTTGAGACCCACCCCCCTCCGTCTGCCCCTCTACCTGCATGGGGACATCTCCTACCTGAGACTGCTGTGGGATGTTCAGAAAGTTGCCGTCCCGGGGTCCGATGCCGACAAACCGGTTGGCAGAGGAGGCGCCTGTCGTTGTGAATGCTGTGGGGAGCAGGGGGCGAGGAGAGAGGGAAAGACCAGGTCAGGCTATGAGGCCCACCTGGCACTGCCCATCTGGACGTCTGAGAAAGGAGAGACTAAGGTAGAGTGCTGCTGGGTAGTCTGGCAGCAGGAAGGATGAGTGAGGGGCTACAGTTTGGGAGGCCAGGCTGCAAGCCCTTCCATTCACTGACCAGGAGCACGCGCATACCCTCCTGCCTCAGCCTGTCAAGGAAGGGCCCTTGAGGCTGCAGCTGAAGTCCCTTGGGCCTAGCTCTGCCCTCTACTGAGATGATGATTAGCACTAACTTCACCAGTGGAGGCCCTGACTTCTCTACTTGTAGGCATCACAAAGGTGGGAGATAGGCAGCCTGCACCAGCCTGTCTGGGCATGGTCCTCTCATCCAGGTCACCTCTCCAGCCCCACAGCCTCACTGGGGTGGGGACTGCACCACTTACCGCCTGGGGCAGTCCCACCGGTTAACAAGTGGCTCAGAAACTCACAGGGGTTCAGTGGAGGACTGAGCCAACAGGAGGGTCACAAAGAACCCGTGGCCTGGCTGCTGGGGCAGAGGGGTGTGCTGTGGCAGACAGGCCACGGCCCATGCTACTCTCTGCTCATCAATTTATCAGGCTAGGTGACAGAGGAAGAGGTCATAACAGAGCCCCAAAGCTCAGCCACCTGGGGACAAATGAACCCAACACCCCTGAGCTCTTTTGGGGTATTCAGCTGAACCTGACAGTTGGAAAGCAGTCCCAGAGGAAAACGGAATGTCCAGTTCACCTGGGAAGCTCACTCCTGCCCTATACCAGACACATCCAGGACAAGCTCACCAGATTCTGTCTCCTCTCCAGAACTGAGCTCCAGCCTGGCTCCCTCCCCCACCCCGCCCACCTCCAGTGGCTGTGATCATGTCTAATGGCGTATGCAAATGAGGAGATGACATGGAGAGGGCAGGGAGGGGGAGAGAAGGAGAGACAGAGAGCTCAATCGGACAGGGGTGTTGACGTGGGCCACCCTCCCACCCACTGCTGCCCCTTTCCAGCTCAGAGTCCTGCCCACCCCTGTGCCAGCCCAAGACAGCGCGCCACCCGCCTCCCTTCGCCTCTCCTGTCCTTCACGTCGGGTCTAGCTGGACCTCTCCACTTAGAGTTTTCTTCTCTTCCCTTTGGCAACATTTGTCATTGGATTTAAAAGAAAAAAAAGAAAGGAAGAGTGAGAGCGGGAGGAAGAAAAAGAAAGACGAAGTAAGCCAGGGTCCAATGCCCTCCCTTCTCCTTGGACCTTACAACCTGGGAAAGGAACTGAGGGGAGAGAAGGGAGGGGACAGGCGGATAGGGAGAGGGTAGAAAGGGAGAGAGGGACAACGAGAAACCACATGGGAAACTGAGGGAAGAAGGGTTTGGAAAAGCAGCCTCCTGCATCTTCAGAGGCCCAAGGGCCAGATGGAGGTGAGGGGACAAGGCAAAAATAACATGGTGGTGGCATCACCTTGTGGTCACATTTAATTTTTTGGTGTGTGTAAGGGAACAACGAAACAACAACAACAAAAAGTTGAAAATCAAAACCAAAAACTCAAAACCAAAACCAAAAAAAAAAAAAAAAAAAAAAAAAAAAAAAACCAACAAAAAACAAAAACAAAAGCAGCAATCAGGCATGAAGATGGCATGGCTGTGCCTCCCGCCCCCCCACCCGCGCCAGCACCCCCGGCCCAGTGCCCCAAGGTACTCTCCCTCCCGCCCCCCAGGGGGGCCTGGGCCAGGGCCTGGCTGGGAGCAGTGGGCAGGGCTCATGGGGTGCTGGCTGGTGTAACTGAGGCCCAGGAGGCCATCGCCAGGGCTCAACCCTGCTCATCCGGTGGGAGGCTCTGAGGCGCTCTGGGTAGGGGCTTTGTTGGGAGGGGGCGCTCCTCTTTTTGCAGTGGAGACTGTGTAGATGGGCCAGGGATGCTGGGCGCTGTGGTTTCGGTTTCATCGTCCACTTACAAGGTGATGGAGGAGTCAAGGCGGCGCCGTCTGGGGCCGTGCTGGTGGTTTTGGAATCAGGCATAGGAAGGGGCACAGGTCTGGCCACTGGAGGCGGCGGCGGTAGCAAAAATGACCCCGGGACTTTGCCCTGGCCGCTACCGTTGGGCTGCGAACAACATAAATAGAGTGACGCATGAAGGCACATCACACACAGACACACGCTCCCCTGCGCGGCCGGCCACTTGCTCCTGATGGAAGATGCAGGAGTGGGAGGGAGGGTCCTTTCCTCTAGGCACATGATGGAGGAGGTGTAAGGCCTCTATTTGGTCTCTTGGGTGTTTCTGCCTCTTTCTGTTTTTCTCCCTCTTATGAAGTAGTGGGAGGGAAGAAGGGGGGATGTCCGACGGATGGTTCATCATTTCTTTCTCTCTCTCTCTCTCTCTCTCTCTCTTTTTTTTTTTTTTTTTTTTTTTTTTTTTTGAGACGGGGTCTTAATGTGTAGCTCTGGCTGGCTTCAAACTCACCATGTAGACCAGAACGACCTCAAAAGCACAGAGATCCACCTGCCTCTGCCTCCCAAGGGCTGGGTTTAAAGGCATAAGCCACCATACCCAGCTAATTCATCAATTCTTAAGCAAGATGTTCTAGGTACAGAAATGAACCACCTAGCAATGCATACCACCGCACCTACAACTGTTGCGCTCCTTTGGAAGACCTGTCCTCAAGGCAGGAAAGAGAAGCCAGCTCACCTCCAAGGTCTCAAAGGCACACTCCCTCCATGGGCCTGGCTGGGGCTGGCTGCCTAGCCAAGACCCACAGGCCTGCCAACATCCACCCCATGGGCATCCTAGCCCAGGAAGCCATCAGCACTGAGACGTCACCCTCCATCCATTCTATCTCCAGCAGGTCCCGTTCTCAGCCTGTGAACAGTGGGGCGCTGGCCTTTTCTATAAAAACCAGCCAGCGAGGAAAATATGCCATCGGTGGCTCCAACTTCTGTGCGGTTCTTCAAGAGTGATTCCCTGGAAAATGCACACCCTCAGGAGCCAAGGACATGCTGTCACCAAGGTTCATTCCTTCTCCTTTGTGCCTCAAACTTGCACTTCTCCGTCAGGCCTTATGCCTTATCGTGCCTGGGTCAGCTTCAATGAGTCAGAGAAAGTACACACCACAGGCTCCCCAGCCACTGGCAGGCGGGCGGGCGCAGTATCCCTTGAAAGAGCTGGAACATGCCTCCTGCTGCTTGGGAAGAAGCCCTCAATGCCCACTGCAGCTCAGGTGCAGGGAGGCCTGGCCCCAGCTCTTCTTTTCCTATGGAGCAAACTTCAGCCCTTCTGGTCACTCAGGCCCAAGTCCTACGGAGGTCTTTTTCTCTCAGGCTGTACCCAACTGGCAATCCTCCTGCCTTGACATTCTGAGTGCTGGAATTATAAGCTCCACTACACCTGGACAGTGCTCCTCTTTCTACGGGAGGACAGACCCCAGAAGCCCAACCTGCCTGCCGTCTCCTCCATCAGCCACCATTCCATCCTCACTCATTTCATTTGGCTGATGACAAAGAGCCTGCAGGGGTGGGCGTGGGGCCGCCTCTTTGCTCTGACAGTGAGTGGCTCAGCTCGTGCTCTGGGTGTCCAGCCATAGCCCAGACATTGCACCCATGCTGGGTCTGATCTTCCAGCTACTTGCAAGGCAACAGTTCTCGACTCAGGGTCACTCTGCTCCCCATCCTAGGAGACACTGCAACACCTAGAGACATTTTTGAGGCCGAGAAGATGCTATTGGCGTTAAGTGGGTAGCTACAAATCCATATCTTAGATAGCCCACAGGATGAAAGCTCATCCTCTGCTTGGAGCTAACAGTGCTGTCTCTTGGAAAGCTTTGGTGCAAAGGAAGCTTTATTTTACCCATTCGATAGCTAAATCCAGTGAGGTTGTGTGCAGGGAAGTGGTTCATGCAAAGCTACCTGCTATGCTGGCCATGGCTGGAAGACACGTCTGACCCGAGAGCCTTTAGCAGGCTCATGGACCCACTTCCTCAAGTGCAAGTTAGCTCAAATTTTTCACAAATGTTTCACTGTTTTAGAAGCTGCATGCTTCCCAAGGAGCACTCAAGGTCCTCATCGCCACACCCTATCTTTTCTGCTTAGTATTTCTCATTCTGTGCCCTTGGATGTTGAGAGCTCAGGCTGAGGACAAGGCCACAGTGCAGACTTGCTCACCAGAACTCTACATGGAGCTCTTCCCTGCACCCCCTGGCCCCCATCAAAGTCATGGAAGCCGCTGTCACCCAGGCTCCAGCATGCCAGCAGACTCATACAGCACTCAAGTCCTACAGCCCAAGTGGGACTGCACGGCCCTTCCTGTTGTCTTGTCTCCTTCCATTTTTATGTGGGTTCTAGGAATCAAATTTAGGTTATCAAACTCGTGTGGCAAGTATAATCTCAATGAAGACTGGACTTCAGATCCTCTGCCTCCACTCCCCAAATGCTGGGACTACAGGCCTGTACTGCCATGCCCGGTCGCACCTGACCTAGAGCTCTGCTTCTTCTATTCAGTAACCTTTATCCCTGATGACCTGCCAGATCTGACACACCATTCCCTTACATGGTTCCTTCTACCATTCCTGCACACAGTTGAGAAGCATCTGGCCAAACAGCTGGTGGCTGCCTGGCATCCCTATCTACAACCCAGACTGGAGTCTTTTGTGGCAGGTACCCTTTTAGAGAGAAGCTCTGGTTCTAGGCAGCATTAGGACCAAAGAGCAAGTTTCCCAGCTCTGCAGGGGTGCCACAGAGAGCAAAGCAGTGGCCTCCCCCTCATGTGTATGGCCTGTCTGGCTCCCATCCCATTTTTCCCTCAGATAGGAAATGGACCAGTCCCACAGATCACAGCCTCATGGCTTTTCTCTGAGCTCAGAACAGCTAGGACACAGCATGGAAGCCTCTGCCACCTCCAGGGCTTGTCTCCTGCAAGAGGGTCTACAAGGACAACCCCACCTGATTGGGCTAGTCACAACTTTCGTCAGGCCTGGAGCATCTAAGATTTGGCCAGGATAAAAGTCAATGTATTAAAGTATCAAAGTCTGTGGCTCTGCATTACCTTAGGAGCTGAGGCAGGGACTGGAAGGGGTCTACAGGCTGGCCCAGCACGTCACTTGCCTCTTACACATGGTGGCATTCCTGCCTCCCTGAGTCATTATTCCCACTGGGCCTACAGCTTTACTGTGTTTGTTTGGCTGTCCCTTCTCTACCCCTGAAACACTACTAACCTGGACCCTTCCTCCTGCCCTTTGTATCACCTTTGTATCTCCCTGTGACCTTCCACATAAGTGCCCCAGGCTGGGGTGGAAGGATGAAATATCAGGGTGCCCAGAAGCCCTCTGTAATGGTCTGCAACTTTTCTCTACATGGCTATTTTCCTGAAAAGGTGGTCTGTAACCTGGGATCTGTGAAGTGTTAGGAGGGTGCTCTGTTAGGCTCCAGGCCAATGGTTCCCAACGTGTGTCCTTTAGCCAGCAGTCCAGGAGAAAGACCTGGGTCTGGGTGGGCACTTGGGTTCCTGGGCACCACCTTTGCTGAAACAACCTGTAGGCCGAATCTTCTGGGTGACTCTGAGTGTAAAGTCTGAGGACTGCTGTTCTACGGCAGCTGGGGCAGGGTGGCGGTGGTGGGGTAGAACACAGCACAGCCTCAGACCCACAAGAACTCCTGCAGCAGGCTTTTCTCTCAGTTACACAGAGGAAGTCCTAAGAGGATTCCCTACTTCCCACTGTTAGCTACACGCAGCAAGGTATCTGCTTACACCTGTGTCTGCAGTCTCATGGAGTAAGTACCTGTCTTGAGAAATAACTCTAGGAAAGTGAGTGTTCCATGTTACACTTGTTAGGTCACAGGTGAGGCTCAGAACCCAGCCCGCAGAAGGCAGGGGCCAACTGATTCTTTCTTCAGGGTCCTGTGGGGATAGATGGCTTTTTGCATTGGTTCCCAGGTCCTTTTTATTTGGATTCCAAGCCTGGCTGCCTTTGAGGTGAAAAGGCAAGTTAGCATCTCTCTGGAGTCTGCTCTATCTCTGAAGTGGTAATAAGGGGTCAGTTCTACCCATAAGACAGACAGTATTTATACAGAGAGGTGGGAAGGCCACCAAGTACTAAGGAGCTAGAGAATCGGCAAGAGAAACCCTTGTGGAATAAAGTAGGGAAGAGGATGAAGACAGCAGAAGGGCAGGGATGGGTGAGCAAGCCAGAGGAAATAGGACCAGATCCAGGATGGACAGAGAACCCAGCCCAGTCATATTCCAGAACCAGCAATCACCCATTCTTCCCCAAGCACATCAAGGCTGTGTGGCTGAACAATAGGGGAATCCTGCTGCTCCCCTTGGACTCTCTCTGGTGCGGACTCTCCCACCTGCTTTCTAAGCCCTCTGAACATCCTCCCGATGACTTCTCATGGCCAGGCTACCTGTACTGGCCCAGGAATGGGAGAGTGCTGGGCTACAAAACTCTCCAGAGGTCTGGACCACCATATCCCATCTCAAGGGACCCCTAGAGCCTGAGCACATCATGCCAGCATCTCTGGCATGTTATTTTCCTGGATAATCCCTTTGCGGAGCACCCTAAGTTTGGACCAGGCCCCAGGGCTGGCTGGTGGGAAAGAACCCACAGGGAGTCCCTCTGTTCCACAGGGCTGTGGATCTGAAGGGCTTTGTTCCAGAATCATAACAGTGCAGGAGCTGTTTGGTAAGCGTCCTGGTGTAGGAATCTTCACACAGGCATCATGTGGGGCCCCCTGAAAGTGTGAGATAGATTTGATACCCGTGATTGAGAAGGAGAAGGTATCTGTTAGGTGGGGGCCAGGGATGCCTCCCACCGAGTCCAGGACAGCCTCATACCACCAAGAATAAACAGCCCGACAGTAATGAGCCAGACAAACTCAGGTCCACAATCTGTCAAATCCTTGACCTCCTAGATTTTAGAGAGGTGGAGGTCCAAGGCCTAGATTGTACAAATCATATGCTCATTCCTGCTGGGAATGAAGAGTCAACAGGAAGGGCAAGCAGCCCCTCTCCAGTCCCTAACAGACAGAAGCTAGGACAATATGCAGACCCTGGCCCCAAGCCCACTAAAATTGCTCACAAGATAGTCTATGGGCTCTGCTACTCCAACTCCATGTATGCTCCTGATTTTTGGCCCTCTCCTCATGAGCCCTTGGACAGACAGAAAGACAAATCAGACAGACGGACAGACAAATAAATGAGGCTATGAGGCCTCCTGTGCCCTCTAGACTCACCTGTCCAGTGGCCTGACCCGAGCCGTCAGAGCACACAAACTGCACAAACTCCTTCAGCGAGTCCTGCCCATGGTGGTGGTGATAGCGGATGGTTGGGTGTGTAAAATACGGGCTCGACTGCTGGATGATGGACGTGGAAGGGAAGTGCAGGGCTGATGCTGTGGCCCGGGGGCTCCCTGTGTGCACAGAAGCAGGAGACAGAAAAAGTTGTAAGGGAGCCACGTGGCAGCAGCAGGCTGAGGATCCCGAGGAAGAGGCAGAATGGACCAGAAGCACTGTGTCAGGCATGAAAACCCTCAGTCATCTCAGTAAAAAAAAAAAAAAAAAAAAATTTAAATGCAAAGAAAATAAAAAAATAAAAAAACTGGCAGACTACTACCTGAGGGCCAGCTGCTTGCTTCTATAAATAATGTCTGACTGGAGTGGGGGAAGGGGTAGCTGAGGCAGGTGGACAGCTACAAGTACAGGCTGGGTGTTATCTGTTTGAAATTGCTAGCAAGTTGTTTTTTCTGGTTTGTTTGTTTGTTGAGATGGGGTTTCTTGTCACCCAGGCTGACCTTGAGCTCCTGATCTTTTGTGTCTTTCCTAATGCTTGCAGGTGTGTGTCTGGCTGTTTTTTCCTGTTGTTTATTTTGGTTGATTTTCTTTTGTTTCTTTCAGTACTAAGGGTTGAACTTAGGGGTCTACATGTCAGTCAAGCTTTCTGCCATATTTGCTTGCCGAAGTTTTTGTTCTTTGAGACAGAATCACACAGCCTCAAATTCCTGATCCTCCTGACTCAGCTTCCTGTACGCTAGGATTTCAGGTGTTGGCCTCGTCCTAAGTTTTGCAACTGTTTTCATCTTTTAGAAATAATACATTAATATAGTACTTATCTTGAGGATTGAGTTTTTGACATTTTCCTTCTTGTACCCTTTGCAAACACCTCACTTGCCCTGCCCTAGATGTGAGCCTGCCCGAAGGACAGACAAGAGGATGCATGGCTCCAGGGACTGTGTATGGACAGCCCTGCTTGTGCAGGATGGACACCTACTGCACACACAAATCCATACGCGTAAGCGGGACCCACAGGCCTCCCTCCGTCATGTGTCGGCCCCCCCAACGTTATGCACTCAGTCCCCACCCCTGCTCTGGCCTCTTCCCCACGGTCTCCCCTCCCGTCTGTTTCCAATCAGCTCACTCTTGCTCTCTGTTTCATTAGGGGGCTGAGGAAACTTGGCTTCTCATTGGAGTTCATAAAAATGAGTACAGCAGAGTGGAGCCTGCCTCCCTCCTGCTGCCGGCACAAGGGCTGGGCTCCCCGCCCCCACCTCGTGGCCACCACACCCTGCCCCAGTGCTGGCTGTCTCTGGGCTCTAAGCCAGGAGGCCCCAAGGAGGAAGCTGGGAGGTAAACCTCCCTGTTGTGCCCTACAGAAGAGAAGAGAGGAATGGCAGACACAGACACAGGCCCGTGTGCAAACAAAAGCCAGGCCTTTACTGCCAGATGGGTGCTGAGGGGGGAAAGTAGCAAGCAAGAGGGGCCAGGTCCCCTGTGTCCCTGTCTGGCCCCACCCTCGGGAAGATCAGCATCTTCTCAGGGCCTGAAGAGATGTGCCACTTGCTCTTCCTGCCCTCCCCTTTACTTCTGGGAAAGACAGGGAAGCCCAGACAGTTTGCCCGAGGACAGACACCGGGTACCTGGACCGCTGAGCAGTGCTCTTTCCATCCCACAGGAGAGCGGTTTGGCTCAATTCTTGCTGGTGGGGGAGGTGGAGGCTGCATGCAGCTCCCAGTGAGCATGTGCAAAACATGCACCCAACACAGCCAGGGTTAGCATGTGCGAAGGAATCTAGGAGCTGAGAGGGCAAGCCTGGTTCCCAGAGGTACACTGCCCATCCCGAGCCACCCACTGCTGTGCCATGACCCCACGCAGGGGCAGGGGCAGGGGCAGGGGCAGGGAGCCCAGATCGTCGCTCAGGGTGAGTCCTGGGCACCCGCTGTACCTAGCCAGCTGCCCCTTGCTGTGGCTGCCTCCCTCAGTGTCCCTTTAAGCCCCGCCTCCATCTCTCACCTGGTCTGACTCCAGCAAGCACAGGCAGCGGGTGGTGGGTGAAAGCCATGCGTGGGGAACTGCCCTGAGAGGAGAGGGCACTGCAGAAGTCCAGCTTTCCTGACTTCTTTAGAGAAGCAGGGCCTGGGGGGAGGAAGCAGCGACACGCAGGTTTAGCTGGCTGGGGTGGGAAGCCAGCAAAGCAGCCCTCTCCTTCTCTCCCCAGCGGCACCCAGCAGCCCTTCCTCCAGCTCCAGCCCTGCTCTGCTCCTTCTGTGGCCTGACCTCAGGGGTGCAATGTGGCTATGGTCGCTTCTGAAGGAGGAAAATGAGGCCCCTGGTAAATGGAGAGAGTATGCTGGGCAAGGGTGGCAAGGAAGGCATCCTGCTCCCTGACCATTGATAAAGGAATAGAATGGGATGCAGGGCTAGAATCTAGGAAGGGATGCATGAGGAGCCCGCATGAGCCAGGTGGCAAGCCAGACAATGGAAGGGGCCAGAGGGACATGGGTGAGAGGCACAGGCGGGGGCATGGGACAAGGTGGTCTGAAATACTCTAGTCTGAGGAAGTCAGCTCTGCCTTTCTGGAGAGAGGGAAAAGGGAAAGCATAGTTAGAGGTCCTCCAGCGGATACAACATCCAAGAAGAGAACAAAGACGGGAGCCAGAGAGCTGGGAGGAGTCTGAGGACAAGCCAGCGGGCCAGGACAGCCCAGGCCACAGGTCTCAGAGAGCGGGGTTCTTTTTTACCCTGGTACCCAAAGGTGGCATCCAGCCTGAGACAAGGACACACGCACACACAAAAAACCCCTGTTTGGGCTTCGCCTCTAAGAGTCTGAGATTGTAAGCCAACGTCATCCCTGTCCAGTATGCACAGCATCCAAATAATAGGCTGGCAAGCAGGGTTCCCAGGGGCACATTCTTTTGGTGACTCTTATTTTGGTCTGACTAGGCAAGGTGGAGATGAGGCAGGCGCTGAGCTGCCATCTTCGGGGGATAAATCTTGTTGGTTCTGATGGGAATGGAGAGTTGTAGAACAGAAAACCAGAGTTTCAACCCCAGAGAGAAGGGGGGGCGTCTCCCAACGACCAGCAGAGGTGTTATCTGATGGCAGCTGCGTACCACCTGATAGCTGGCATGGTGAGGAGGGGGGAGTGCCTCACCAGCTGTGCACAGCTGTCCCTGCTGCTGCACAGAGCCTACCCAGCTGTTCCTATCCTGCAGCTGGGCTGCTTAATTGGCGATTTGTCGCAGCCCAGGGAAACAACGACAAGTTGGGGGGTAAGGGATCCTGGGGGCACAGTGCACGGCAGGGCTGCCAGAAGCAACAGAAATGGCAGGCAGTAGAGCAGACAGGGAAGGACGACTGCAGAAGCCGGGTGAGTAGGCTCTTGGGAACATGGTCAGTCACCGGCTGTCAGCAGGTTACCAAGGTCCCCTAGCAGCAGTTTTTGCAGATGTCACCTGCCCAAGGCCAGGCTCTCCTGGGATCCAGGATATAGCTATATCCAGCCTTCCAACTCCTTCCCTATCCATCTCCAGAAATCCCCCCAAGGGTGTGTATAGGCCACACTGGCCTGGGCCCTGTCTGCCACAGGGAAGCCCTGAGTAGCACCTCCAAGTCATGCTGGGGTGCCTTTCCACAAAGCGCAGTCTCCTCTGGTGCTCTAGAGAGTGCCAAGTCCATTCCCTCAGCCCAAGCCCAGGAGGTAAGTTTTGCCATCTTTGCACAGGAACCAGAGTCAAGGCCAGGGTCTGTACTGGTTCCCTCAGTTGGGTCTCTACTTGACAAGTTACCATCAGATCGGACCCTGGCTTAAACAATGAAACCCAGTCCCCAGCCCCATCTAGAGTGCCCCCAGCTCAATCGAGAGCAGGCAAGTTCTAAGCACACAGTTCAACAGCAGGTCTGCCTTTGTGAGTCCTAAGGCCTCAAGGACAGCTACCTTCTGGCCAGCAGTCTTCCCTCTGGGCTACTAGGCTGCCCACATCATCAGCCTGTACTGGAACAGCCCATGGCTAGTTCAACAGGAAGCCAGCTCAGAGAGGCCCGGGAAGGTCTGGGCTGCTTCCTTTGGGCTCTCAGACTCTCTGCTCTTTGCTAGCTTTCCAAGACAGCTCTGCCCTTCCACCCTGAGTTCTGAGTCTCTTTGTAAAGCTGGGCTCCAAGGCCAGGAGGGTTAGCCACCTCAAATCTGTCTTTCTGAGAGCATCTGGCAATGTCTGGGGACATTTATAGTCCTCTAAATAGGGTGGCCGGAAGCTGTGATGCAGCCTGCAATCCCAACACTCAGAAGGTGGGGTAAAGGCAGGTGGAGTTTGAAGCCAGCCTGGCTATTACATAGCTAGGCCCTGTCTCAGAACAAAACAACGGACTAAAGAAGGGGTAGATGTTTGCTACTGGCATCTAGTGGTGGAGTCAGGAATACTGCTGAATACCTTCTAATACCAGGACAACCCCTGCCCCAGAAAGCCAAGAGGCCTCAAATAACAACCCTGGGCCCAGGTGGAAAAGTGGTTTAATCCAGGGAACCACAAGGCTGGGCAGGTCTCTAGAAGTAAAGGGTCTATGAAAAAGAGGCCATACCTTTAATAAATGGCACTATAGGCTTGGTAGCCATCTGCTCTACCCACCATGCCCACAAACTAGCTACCAACTTGGAAAACTCAGCTCTTCACCTCACTCCCCTCCTTCAGCATCATCTGCCCCCTTAAGATCAAGAGTGTGTAAGAGCCACCTGACAAAAAAGACCTGACAAATTGTGATGGCCACCTCCATACCTGCATCCACGTCATTGGGCCATCCACTAGACTGGCTGCTGCCGGCTGCTGGGGAGCGGCCTGTCCCAGGATAGAACACATCATCAACTGGGCTCTCCATCTCGCTGTCATCGATGGACTTGGGGCGCTTGGTGGTGCTGAGGAAGAAGGGAGGCAAGTGTGTCAAAGTCCAAGCAGCCACCAGGAACTGAGGCCCAGGTATTGCACTGCTGGTGAGTGCCAGCTCACAGAAGCACTCCAGTTCCTGGAGTAGAACATCTCCAGACCTGCTCTCCTTCAGGTTACTAGATCACTGAGGGCCCATCAAAGAACAGGCAAAACCTTTATCTGCCTTCTATGACCCAGCCACTATTTCCTATCAGCTCAGTTGTATCATTAAAATTTGGTCATTAAAAAGTGTTGTAAGCCAACAGTGGTGGCTCACATCTGTAACCCTAGTTCCCAGAAGGCTGACACAGGAGGATTGCAGTGAAGTCCAGATCAGCTAGTTGAACTTGTCTTAAAAAACCAAAAATAAAGAGAGACCCTGTCTTGATAAACCAAACAAACAACTTAAATTCAAAAGGAAAAGCTACATGGTAAACAAAAATGTTCCAGTTAAAAAACGAAGACTCAGTTGGGCAGTGGTGGTACATGCCTTTGATCCCAGTATTCAGGAGGCAGAGGTAGACAGATTTCTGTGAGTTCAAGACTAGCCTGGTCTATGGAGCAAGTTCTGGAAAGCTGGGACTACACAGCAAAACCCTGTCTCAGGGAAAGGAAAAAAAAAAAAAAAAAAAAAAAAAAAGCAAAGATTTAACCTTTGCAGAAGAACCCTGGTTCAGAACTTGGGACTTCTCTCCCAGGCATCTCTCTCTTTCTACAAACCGCCCTCCCTGTCCAGGCCTCCCTTTGTCCCAGCCTGGAGCAGTGACCTCACTGCTGTCAGCTGTGCCCACACATGCTATGGCTGGAGGGAGCTTTCTGGAATGCACATCCTACCATGCCCTCCCGTGGTCCTCACTCCCCTGAAAGAGTCCAAAAGTCTTCTAGTCTCTAGTGTCCTCGGTGGGGGTAATCCTGACAACTTGTTCAAGTCTGACTGAGAGGGAGGTTGCCTGGAGTCTCCCACCAGCTTTGCCTGGGCTCAAATACCATCTCTACAAGATAGGCCTTCTCTTAGCCTCACTCTGAGCCATGCCTCGTGGGTTATGTCCCAGGATCAACTGCTTCATGACAGCATAAAGCAGGAAGCTCAATGGGTGGCTGAGCAGGGTGACACCCTGAAATATCCTAGCCCAGCCGCAGGGAGGTGGTTAGGGAGGCGAGGAGGCCACTGTCCTGGCTTACCTGGTGGAAGGAGGGGAGGTGATGGACCGCCGCCCCAGGGTCACTTGGTTTATGTTGTAGTAACTGGGGCTTTCCAGGTCTGCCAGTGAGAAGTTGGGCCCCGATGCAGTTGCAACAGGAGCTGGGAAGAGAGAGGTTGGTGAGGTTGGGATATGCTGTTGTAGACCCCCACGGGCCAGGTATGCTGCCGTGAGTCACCTCCCAGAAGCCCAGGAAGAGTCCACTGTGATGTCTAGGTTGCTGGGAAGACCCCTTTCCTGGGTGGGTAGTAAGGGAAGAGCTACTGGTCTTGAGTTGCCTGCCCCACAGCAGAGGTTAGGGACAGTATCCTCTGGACAACTGCTCCTCCCAGCTCAGGGCCAAATGGGCAGAGAGTCCCTAAAACATCATCAGTATAATCCTGTGAAATCTGAAAACCACCTCTGCACCCTAGTCTGGTCCCTGGCCCTGACAGAACACAACTTACTCTGTGATACTCTCACCAGCTCTGTCACATTCCAGACCCCAGAAGTCACAAAGCAGTCCTGGAAACTTAAGTGCCCTAAAGAAAGAAAATGGCTGGTGAGTGAAGTCAGATCAGGGTAGGGTGCCTATCCATTCCTCCAAAGTCCTTCCCTACTTGACTCCATCCCTTAAGGGTTTTCCCACTAGTCCTCAGGTGTCCCCACATACAGGGGCATACGCCAGGGGAAACCTCCCTCTTGGATGACAGCCCAAGTCCCTGACAGCTGAGTGAAGGGGCACTGACCATTGGGCAGTGGTTTGATGTCCGCATCTCCTTGCTGGTTTGAACTATCTGATTGTCCGGATTCTGCAGGAGAAACAAAAGGGAGAAAGGATCAGGAGCAAAGTTTCAAAACCATTAGCCAAGTACCCACCTTCCAGCCTTGGGCACCCACCCCAGGCAACAAACCCCTTTACCGAGGCTCTAAGGCTAAACATTGGGCACCCATCCCAGGCAACAACCTCCTTCACCTAGACTCCAGGGCTAGCCCAGGAAAACAGGGGAGAGGGAAGACTGTACTTTACTCCCAACATTTAGACTGGATTGGTCACTGAGGCAGGGGGAGGGGCATCCTGGGCAGGATGTATGGTGGCATCTTTGGCCTCTACCCACTAGATGTTAATAGCACCTTAATTGTGACAACCCAAACTACCTCCAGAAACTGTTCAGTGAGCCCTAAGGGGCAGAGTCAGAAATCAGGGGGTCACTAAGGGAGGAAGCCAGTGATGGGCATTGCCTATAACAAGGCAGACCCCAGGACCCTCCCTCTCCCAGAGGGCTATTTCCCTCCCTAAGTCCATTAATTAATGCTGCTCCTGTGGGCTCATGCCCCTCCATCTCACCTTTATGCTTACAGGCAATGCCTGGCAACCCGGAGGGGGAGGTGTGTCCTGCTGCCACCCATTCTGTGCCAGCCTGTCTGGGCTGTCTCATGCCCCACTGCCACAGCTGCTCAGAGGGAGCCCTGAGACAAGGGCCTATTGTGTGGTGGAAGCTCACAGAGGCTGGGGGCAGGGAGTGTGTGTGCGAATATTTTGCAGAGCTTGAGAAAGCCCCCCACTCTCATCCCCCAGGTCCTCCAAAGCTTTGTGTGTGCCAGGGGCAAGATGGGGACCTTCAGAATGCCTGCCTGGGCAGGACAGCTGGTGAGAGGGTGGGCGTGCTTGGATAGGTTGTAGGGCACTTGGTGACGACTCAGCTATTCATAAGGACCACAGAGGTGGCATCTGACATTGTGCCCCGGTTCTGGCCAAGGCTTTGTTGGGGTCCTCATAGTGGCCCAGCCACCCCACATTTACCCACAGCTCCATGTGTATTCTGCTGTCTCCCAGGAGGATTTTATGGGCCCTGCTCTAAGAGCCAAGACCCTGTACATCTGTGGCTGTGAGCACTGGCCAGGCTCCTGGGCTATTTCATGGTATGATGGGTAGAAGGCTGTCACATTTTGGGGCCTGCTGTCCTTTTCTCTCATCTTGTTCAATCTCTCTCTCTCTCTCTCTCTCTGCAGTACTAGGAATTGAACCCAGGGCCCCATGCATGGAGGCCAGAGCTCTGCCACTGAGTTACAGCCCAAGTCCTTTTTTTTTTTTTTCTTTCTTTCTTTTTTTTTTCATTCCAAAAAGTAAATCTTGCTATGAATTAAGAAAGCAGAGGAGTGCTCACCAACTCCCTCCCCAATCTGAGGCGTATTCTCCTCCATGCCATGGTAGGTCATCTCTTTGCTTGGCATTCTCTGCTATGGAGGGGGCCTGGGAGCTCCTCCTCCAATCATGGACTGTATCTTGAGACCTCAGTATACCCTGGTATCACACAGTATGGATTTTATTCTCTCTCTGGATCCCTGGGTTTGATTCGAGTCTAAGCCAGTCCAAGCAGAAGCCAAGGAAGGGGTCTAGGTGGCATGTGGCCTAAGCCAGGGCCTTCTTGGAACCCACTGTGACGCAGCCGAAGAGGGGCACGGCAGAGTCCAAGGAGGCGCATGTGACACACGCTCTGCTGCTCTGTAGCCTCCCATGGGTCCCACCCATCCTGGGACCAACACAGCCCCAAAGGCCTCCAGACATGGGTCCACCTCATAGGAGCACAAAAAGCTAAGTAGAGAGGGAGAGCTGCGTGCCCGTGCACGCGCGTGTGTGGGTGTGCACACACCCAGCCAAGGGACAGAACGAGTAGAGAACGTGACAAAGAGATGGAGGTGCGCCAGTGACTAAGGCAGAGACAAATGGGGCTCCAGGAGAGTGTGACAGACAGGAAATCCCTTTAAACCAGGACACTTCCCCAAAGGGTGCTGCTGTTATTACTATTAGTCCATATTAAAGGAGCAAGCAGGAGAGGCTGGGAGGATGAGGCCGGCTGCCACGCGCCACCAGGCGTGGCTCTGGGCGCTGCTGGCAGCCATTTTAGACCTTGGCAGCCATCTTATGGCTGGCGGCCCTAGCCAGCATTGCCACAATGCCGCCACCACCAGCCCCCAACAAGCTCAGCTCAGCTCTAGGACAAAAGGCAGAAACACTGGGAGTCTGGACCCAGGCTCACAGGCACAGGAGCCAGCCCCACGGCAAGGGCAGCTGCAGCCAGGGTCCTGCAGATCTGTACTAACCTCAGCTTCTATGATCCCTGCCTGTGCCATGAAAGGGCAGGAAGGATGAAGCTGGTACCCTGGCTTTGCTGAAAGACAGCAGATGCCCTGAGTACCATGTCTCAAGGCCCAAGGACCTAACAGTTCAGCGAGAGTGGACACCCCTGCCCAACAGGGAAGGAAGGGATGTTAATACCCTGTCAGTCAGCTCAGAACACATCCTGACAGACATGAGGTGGAGGTTGGCAGGGAACCACACAGGTCATTGGGTCCTCAGTCCCTGAGGCCAACAGAGGGACATCCTGCCATCCAGAGACAGGAGCCAGAGGCCAGCTTCCCCATGTGGTGGGCTCTCTGGGATGCCTTGAGACAAGGTCTGCGCCAGTTCTGGGCACCCCTAGGGACCAGCAGCATGTCTCAGAGTGTCCAGGCACCTTGACCCCTCTTCTGCCTGGGACTCCTGGGGACTCAGACAGAGAGGAGGAAGGCCCCTTTACAACAGCCCCTCCCCTGGCCCCGCCCCATAGCTGCTTGGCTTTTATCTGGCAGAATGGGGCTTATCAGAGCCACCAGCTGAACAAACACACAAATCCACGGTTAGTGAGAAAAAATACTCAGCCTGAACTCTTTATCTCCTGTTCACAGGCCTTGCACACTGCCCACTGCCAAAAGCACAGGAGGGAGCCTGAGGCGGTGCAGTGGGGGCTGAGTCCTCTGCTCTGAAGGTGGAGGGTGGTCTTCCGGACTCTGGCCTTGCCTTGTCTGCCTTTTCGCCTCAACCACCTCCCTTCCTCCCTCCTTGTCCCCGGCCCATCACCACTCTTCTCTAGGAACCCCTGCCAGTGGGTAGACAGTGAGCTCCTGCCCACACAGAACCCCCTCCAGTGTCTGCTTTCTCACTGGGGACAATGGGCCAGCTGGTGGCCTGTGGAACAGCAGAGGGACGAGATGGCACTGGCTCATACAAGGCAGGCAGGTGCTGATTCATCTCTCATCCTGTCCTGCCCAGTCCACACTGGATACTGTCACCCTGCTTCCCCAGTTTGCTGGGGCCATGTCCCCTGGGGGCTTTTCTTGCTTCAGCGTCTTTAGCCTGGCTGCCCTGGACGTGAGGGCTATAGATCCAGTTTGGGTGTCAGGGTAGTCTGGCCCCAGCTGGGAAAAGAAAAGGCTCCTCCCTGCACCCACTTTACAGAGAGTCTGGGCTCCTACCGCTTCCTTCAGAGGAGGAACCAGGACAAAGGCTTTACTACTACCTTCCCTGGACCCAAACCAAGGCAATTCAATGGTCTTCCAAGTCCTGGAGTTGAAGAACAAAACTCTCCTCCAGGCTCTAAAGTGCTTCCCACTCTCCCCTTTGATTGCAAAAACCTGAAAACCAAGCCCTGTTTGATGGATGCCCTGGATGGGCTGGTAGCTTGGGCTAGGATAGAAGTGGTTACGCAGAGCTGGGTGTTGGTGCCTGATTATGTGTCAGGCCACTTACTGGCGACACATGAGTGCAGAGCTTTAGTCTTTCTCTGAGGACCCAGGCTGTTCACAAAGGTATATCTCTGAAGCAGAGGCCGCTCCTGCTAGTAGTGGTCCTGGCTACTTTGCAGGGTTACTGGAAGGCAGGGCTGTGAAGGGGCAGGTGAGATGATAAATTTGGATTGACTGGGCATGGGCCCCGCCCAAGTGGGTTCACAGAAGGGCTTGACTGCAAATTCTTACCTGCTTTCTAGTCACTCCTAAACCATGGATCACCCCTTCTGTGACAGCTTATAGACTGCAGGTGTCAGATGGCATGCAACGGACAGTGGCCAGCACAGGCCCCTCTTTCCACGTGTTCCTTCATGTCTTTTGGGAGAGACAAAAAGCTCCCATAAAGCTACCCTTCTCACCTCACTTTAGCTCCATCCTCTGATTCTGGCTTTCTTCCTGAACTCCATCTCTGAGTGTTCTTTGGTCCTAACCCTCTGTCATTCTGTCTGTCCCTGTACTTCCTTGCAGTTCCCTGTCTTCCTCACTTCTGTCTGCTTGCACACATGTGCATGTATGTGTTTGAGAAGACTGCCTCTTAAGCAGAGCTCTCATAGCCAGAACCCAGCATTGCCCAAAACCCTGATGTATATGTGTATGTATATATATATCCCCAACCACAGACAAGGATGTATTTATGGCTCCTAGCAAGTGAGGGAGGAATTCCTGCTCACTTTAGCCAACACTCCATGGCTCCCACGCGAAACAAGCTCATTCTGCAAGGGGGGCAGCTGCATGTAGCTCGCTGGCCAGCTGCCTCCATGGGCTTCACCCAACATATTCTTTAGGGCCAGGAGGGGTGCACAGACCAGCCTCAGCTGTATCCAAGAGGTACCTAGGCATGTGGATATACTCAGATGAGCACACTTGTCATACCCTCAGCTTCACAAGTCATCTGTGGATGCCATCAGCCCCTTCTTAGTGTCAGGAAAGGTGGAATATCCAGAGCTGGAGAAAGGAATGCCCCAACTATGCAAACTGCTGGTCCAGAGCAGGCAGGGGTGTGACTGCAGATCATTCCTGCCCTCCCCAGTGCTGCATCTCATCTGCCTGCCTCTCCCCCCTCCTCTGTGATTCCGGAGTGTCCAGGGCACAGGAAACCCAATCTCAAGGAGAGCCAGAGGCCCAGCCTACAGCAATCAGAGCTGCAGAATGTGACTATTGTGCCTCCTGAAACCCAAGTCAGAGAATGCAAGACACCCTGAGG